ATATTGCCATTTCGGAGTTATAGGATTTTTGCGACGAAAACGTTTTATGCTTCTCTTGAACCGTTGCCATTTTAGAGTTAAGACATTTGGGAATTAGACCGACGATGATGTAGGTTACAATAATATTTTCTACTCCGACCGCGCGGAGGACAATTACTGCCTTGAGTGTTTTCCACTACAGCTAATACTATATTGTATTATATATTGGTATATACAAGCCGTCTTTATTACAATCTATGACAATTATTAATATGGGAGTCCATAAATCAAAAATTAGAACGTTTATATAATATTGCGTTGTTTCTGTTTAGTTCATGCGAAAAAACGGTGTACACACGATATTATACATACAAGTAATTACAAATAGTCATAGTTTTGAAGATTTTTTTTTATTGTATTTTAAACTGTTTATATTATATATTATACGGTACTTAATTTTGAGTGCGTGTCAGTTTTAATGATATTTTACACTACGTTACGGTTAGTAAATAACATTATTAATACGTAATATTATTTAAATGTATATACTTGACGATTACCGTATTACCACGACATCATGTTGAACAGGTTAATAATAATTATTTATTAACTCATTGGTTGAAAGAAATCAATTTTAATTTAATTTCCTCAGACTACTGAATAATATATTGAGTTATAGTACTATTTCCCGCGTGTTTTCTAAATAATTAAACACATGTTAAATTTCCCACGACTTTAAATCAAAATATAGATTCCATGCAACAGGTGTAGTTATACTTATAACTTAATAAAAGTATAATATTATAATAATCTAATATTGTGCTATATATACTTACTAGTAAATTCATATAACTCAAGAATTAGATGCTTCTAACTTATCTCCTATCTCCTACCATAGGATATAACACATTTATAAAGAAAAACAGAAAATAAACGGCTCGGAGAAAATCTTATTTACGAGATTAAATGGCATTATCATTTAGATATTTGAATACTACTCTAAAATTTGATAGTGCAATTTGAAAGTTAATATCTAGGTAATTTAATTAAATTTAGTTTAATTACTGTGAATTTAATGAATTTACAATGTACATATTTTATTATATTTGTGTAGGTAAGTTCTATATTTCAAAATCACAAATAAATATAAAAAATTAACATTCAAAATTGTTTTAAAAATGTATAGTTTGAATTTGTTTATATTTATTAATAATCAATATAATAATAGTCATATCCCCAATTTGCAATAAGTATATAACATTAAAATATAAAATAAATATATTCAGTCAATACAGTATGTGATATTAAATGTGAATAGGACAGGTACAATATAATAGATATGAGGAAACTCATATTTAAGGAAACAAGTTACTATTGCTTAAAGTATTTCCGATTGATAATATTATATTAGTAAGGGAGTCAGACATATATACTTTAGAGTAATTTGTAACAAAAATAGATCCGTACTTCGGATATTATGATGGTTAATTTTAAAGGAGATAAGACAGGTATAGAGAATATACAGGAATCAGCAATTTCATTATTCAATAATTTACTGAGAAATATGACATAAGAATATTGCCTTCCGACTTTTAAAGTTTGTAAATTTAATGCGTGCAGAATATGGTTATAATCAGGGACGGATTGGGCCATCGGGCAATCGGGAAATTCCCGATGGGCTGCATGCTAACAAATTAGAATGGGCCGATGGATTACAAATTGTAATTGTTTGTTTTAATAAAAAAAAAAAATCAGCTGTAGCAATAAGTATTGGGTTTAAAATGATGTTTATTGCTTTTCTTTTTATACCGATAAGAATAAATGTAAATTGATACAATAATATCATCTCAACCGTCGTAATAATATTATAATATGTAGATATAAATGATATAATAATAATAATAGCATGGGTTATTTCAAGCGGCAACGTCGTCGTCGTAGAATAAGACCGGAAACGGATGACGACGATGTCTTTCGACAATGCATGCGTGTATAGATGATAAGATTATTTTTGATTCAGAGTGAAGCGAAGGAGCTTGTGGTTTTACAAACATGTTTATTTTTTTTTCTCAGTGGACTATTTTTTTTATCCGAAATCTTTTTCCGGTTATCAAGTGTAGCACATTTCTGAAAGGAAATCGGTGTGTGGGGGTTTTAAGCAAGTCATTTTTCCATTTTTCATAAGAGTTTTCCCAGCAAATTGGAAAAACATAGGAAAACCGAGAAAATCTTAGGAAAAATGGGAAAATCGGATTTAATATTAATTAAACAAATATTATTAAAGAAAATATATAATGCCTATTTAATTATTTTATTAACAAAGTGGTGGAGTAAAGAAGTGGAACTTATTAAAATATTTGAATCTACTGAGGGACCATGTAAGAGCAACTTCATACAGTTTGGAACCAATGGAAGAATATGATATTGAATCTAAAATTAGTCGTGAGCCCCAAAATGTAAATTGCGAGAGTTACAGAAACTGTGTTGATTGTTTTTATAATATTTTACAAAAATTCAATTGGTATAGTGATGCATATTCTAATTTATTTTTGGCATCTAAACGTGTACTTACACTACCTACTACACAAGTGCCATGTGAAAGGTCTTTTTCATTTTTGAAAAATATAAAGATAAAGCATCACAGTCAATTGTCAGATATCTACTAAGTTAGAAGCATTTATCTTAAACGAAAATACGATTCTGAGTTCAATTGATAGTGTGGCTTTGACAACAATATATATGTCATATTATTGTAAAATAAAATTATTACAATGTGCGTTTCCACGACAACAACCATTATTTAAAACGATTCAAATAATAAACTTAATAATAACAAAAAATAAATAATAATAATATAATTAATATTTCAATCTTCTTTAACCTAAAGAACCAGGTTTTCCACATTATCTCGAATGTATGAATGAGGATTTTAAAAAAATGACCTTTTTAAAGTAGCACCCAGAAAACATTTCCTTTCAGAAAAAAAGCTATACCTCATAATCGGAGTAATATTTTCTGATAGAAAAAGTGTTCACATAAAAAAAATTAAATAATAAACATCATTGTAAAATTAATACATTCCTTATTCTGCTGAGAATCTAAAATATAATGTAAAATAATGTTAAATTGTAATTGACTAAAAATATTGACTTGTGCAATAAGATACACTTGCAGGTTACCACTACACTCCCCTCCAAACATATGGGCCACTACATATTAATTTTCCTGGGCCGGTCTAAAGTTCCAATCCTTCCCCGATTATAACCAAAATGAGTCTAAGTATATTGCATTTATAAGGGATAAAACGAAGAATTTTTTTTTGTACTTCCTCTATTTGATTGAAATGAGTTAAAATGAGTGTTTCCCATATAATACAAGTATATTCTAAATGGAAAGAATTTGTAAAAATCGTATTTTTTCGTTGGATCACATTTATTTAGAACACAAATTCTAATCATTTTAGTACAACATATATATGGATAGGTCTTTAGATATTATATAATATTTATTGTACATAACATTTGTTTTAAATTTGCAGAATCTTTAGCCTGCTTGAAATCTGAATAAAATTCGCAACATATTATAATAATATTACACCGAAAGTATATATCCTTGCTTCGATTAAAATTATATCATATTATATTGTATAATCTTTATAAATCATTATTCACACATTCGCTTTTTAATAATCGAATCACTTTAGGACACATCATAAAGAATATTACTATACCTATATATTCTATACATTTCTATCATCTACTTGATTTTCATTGTCAGTTAGTATTTTAAATCACCTTGACCAATGGTATTGAAAAATATATTTTTATTCTACACTCAAACAGGGGTATAATATATTATTGAATATATACAAGCATGCTGCTACTGCTGTTGGTATAAGTAACTATCTGCAGTCTCTGTGTATTTCTTTAAGACGTGTTGGCGTTATCCTTGTACGAGGTCGGTTAATGTGGCGAAAATAAAAACGGTTACTGGTACATGACATTATATAGGTAGGTAGTTATAGTTGTTTCAACAATGTTATATTTCGAGTATACGAGTACCTATACCTAAATATAATATTATTTCGCCGAGTTATAATATTCGTTTCACTTTGACGAGAGTAATTGGCTAATTCGTTTGTATGTATTGTATGCTAATATTAGTTTATAATTAAATACCACCCTTCATATAGGAGCCGAACTATATTTCTTTAATATATTAGAGTTTAGTCAAATCAGCAATGTCGTAATTAAAACATCGACAGAGCAAAACAATACAAATCCTTATAAATATATGACAAAAAATAAAATGTATCCAATTTCTTATTCGCCACACTGTGCAATTTCAATAACGTTATTGCAAACAATAATGTTTCTATTAATCTATATTTTTGGTTAAAATTTTCATAATAACAGGTATATTGATTAATAACCAATGATTATAATATTATGAATTTGTATGATATTTGAAAAAAAACCAATTCTTTGATTTTGATACATTTTGATTTATTATTTTACAATAGGTTTATAAATATGCAATAAATTGGTCCCTGAAAGTTAAATAGCAAATATTATTTCCATTGGTCGTAAAAATCATTTTCAAACTTGATGACCTCAATATTCTTCTAAAACATACACTATCACCAGAATCTTGGTGCTACTAGCAACTGATAGAGATTTAATATTATTTCCTGGATATATATATATATATATATATATATATATATATTATGAGATGTTGTTTTATAATAATTTATATACCTACCTAATAATAATTTAATTTTTATAATTGTATACGATATACCAGATACCCATGTAGGTACTGCTATAATAGTTATACACATTTTTGCGATTCAAATGGTTTTTAAATTTTGCTATTATAATAAAACACGTGAATACATTAATATAGTTATAATACATAACGGTGTTTTTTTAAAGTAATAACGAAATTATCAAAAATAAAATAAAACAATTTTGCAAGTATAGTGGGTACAACTATTTTATTAATGACGATATAAATACACGAGTTCTTGTTATTTATGCAATAAAATAACGATTTTATGCTGCTGACGAGATACTTTAAAAGAAGAAAAAAATAATATCATTAACTAAAATTATGTCCTGCGCACAATACTTTACTTTTAATCGTGAACACATTGTGACAATGCATTCTCGCACTCTGTGTTCGCCTTGAACGGTTTAACACGTGAATACTTTTTGATACCACAGCGTCAACTTGTTTTTTTTTTTTTGTTTCGATCTCGGTTCGACTACGCGTATTTCGCGCGTTGTTAAAAACAAAAAAAAAAGAAAATCAGAAATGTATTATGGACTTAATAATATTATTTAATATTTTGTTTAATCGAATTTCACGTTACCTTTGTAAGCAGTATTCGATAGTATTTTTCATATAAACAAATCTTCATGATGCAGAAAAAAAAACATATACTGCTCGTAGGCACACCATTGTTTTACAAGTGGGAAGTTGGAGATATATTATAATATAAAATGTAATTATACTGTTATAGAGTAATTTATAGTTTAAAATATACTGAACAACTGGTAATTTGAACAAAAAACTAAGTAAAAAAACTCTACATTTTAAAATACAACTTTAAATAACTCAGAAAGGTCCAACATATATCCAAATAATATCAAAGACTTATTACTAAATACATTATACAGCATATACAGTACACGAAAGTTTTGATTTTATTAAAATTGGTTTTTTTTCCTGTAAACAATACTTGGATTAGTTTAACATTTTGTAATAGATGATACGTCATAATAAATATAAGTGTTTGGAATATAAAATATAATAATACGATGACAATGACCCGATGCTCTTTAGCCTTTGGATTCTGTGTATTTATGCGTATAGTTTTGATTTTCAGATATGGTTTATTCGGTATTCTTGAGATAAAACGCTAATTGAGGAACATATTTTGTTGTGTTTGCAAAGGTCATGGGAATAACAATGGTCCACGGGCACGATGAAAATACGATGTATATTAATTTATTTACAAAAACAAATAATGAAAAATTATAAAATATACATAGGTAATATAAATAGTATGACCTAGACAAAACTGTATAGCATTTAAACTAAAAACATATACATACCTACCTACCTACCTAGAACCTAACATTATTATTTCAATAAATATTTCAAAAAGTTTGATCGGGTGGATAATGTACTACTATTACAAAGGTTTAGATAGGTGCAACTAGGGAGGCTTAGGGGGTATTTAGCACCCCCATGTTTAAAATTGGCACCCCAAAAAAACACCCAATCAGTATGTTTATAGTGTTGACTAACTTGTTTTTTCCATGTATTTAATAATAAATTAATAAGCAGAACAAATTTAGATTACCTATACAGACAATGCATAAATTAAATAAAGTTGGGACATTGCCCTGGCAGATCTGTGATGTGTCTATAATTTTAGCACCCCCAAAGTTGGTGATCTAATTGCGCCCATGCTACTATACGATCATTATTAGATTATGTCTATACATGTATTATGAGTAGATAGATACACTTAAACGTTTGAAAGATATTTTAATTTTGCATATTGTTAACTAATAGGTTAAAACCAAATATTATATATTTCAAAAAAGCCAAAACAAACCTGTTTTCCAAACTGTCATCAATAGTTAAAATTTTAGACATTATATATATTTTTGTTTAGGTTGAAGTTGGAAACATGAGTCTCGACTCTAAAATACGGAACTATCTAACTAGTATTAATAATAGTTGAAATTGGATTTACGATTTTTCATGGATCATGTAACTGTTGACACTGGTTAAATAGAGTTCAGTATCAAAACCCACATTATCCAATGTAAGTGTTAACACAGAAAAAACCGCTACGTTTGTTAAATTGAGACTTGTTCTTACGCGTTTTGAAACGGGCTGATTACAGAATCGAATCGCCTTTAAATTTCTTATAAAACAGTATCACTAACTCATTTTACAATTGTTTGAAACATTTAACTTTTTATTCTTACCTACTCTATTATTCTTTAGTAATATATAAGGGCAATTTGGACATTATCAAAATAAATTTGTAAGCTACTATAATACTGCAAATTCAGTATTCGGTTATTTAATATAAAATGACCTACTTATGTATAGCCGTATAATATAAAACATGTGCATGGGACGAGGGAAAAAACACGTCAACACTTTTCGACGGCGATAACTATATTAAAAACCTTAAAAGTCAAGGTTTCACATTTTTAAAGAATATCGTATCAGAAAATTAGCGTTTATTTCGATAGAGTTAAAAATAATTTATATAAAATACAAACATCATAGTTTTGTACCAACTTACACGTACGTGCGCATATACGTTTTAATAAATTGTATACTACATTAGACTCATCATAAATACATAATATAATACAACGAATACAATAATATATTCTTGCATAGGTAAACGTGGTAGATACTGTAATTTAAATGAAATACAAGTAATGGTATTTATTTTCGTATATCGTATATGTGTACGAAAATTCGGAACAGATCACACCATTTTATATTATAGGGCTATTGCTATAGCCCTATTATATAGATATACAAAACCGATGACCTAACGGAATTCATTACTAGATTATTTTTGATGGATTTCAATAAAAATTCAAAGTTAAACGATAAATTTTTGTACATGCAATATTAAGATTTCGATTCAATTAAGTAGCTATTAAGTATAAAGTCAATGAAAAGTGGAATTTTATAAAGCATATTATATTTATTTCATTTCATATAAATATAGATTATAGATACTTATCAATAACAGTACTTATCAATTAATAACCTACTTATAATATTTTAATCGGAATGGGACATAGATCAATTATAAATTATTATTAACCTATAAACAGCTATTAAATTACCTATTGGAAATTGTGTAATTATGTATATTCATCGTCCAATGTCTTTAATACTCAAAATGGTAAAATAAAGAAATATTAACTATATAATTGAATATTTGTACGAATTTAGTTTCTTAGCAAAGGAGAGAAAATTATACATAATACTGTTTGAAAAGTGTCGGGCTAAATATGGAACGATAAACTTTTTGAAATTTTCACTGTCAGAACCCGTCTATTTGAAAGGCTATAAGTTAAAGGAACGAAAACCCTATTTAAGGTATGTGTATTTTTAACTTTAGTACCTATATGTTGTTTTAAAATCTCTTAAAATTAACCATAGTATAAGAAAGAAAAAAAAATTACTAAACTCGCTTCAAAAACAATATAGGTACAGGCATATATCATAGATAGTGGCCTTGTCCACTCATAGAATCGTATTTCTAAAGTGATAGGATATCACTTTCAAATTTAATTAACATAAAAACCCCTGACCTAATCCACGTCAGTTGTTGTGGCATGCGGGGTGTCGGACCCCGCATACGACATGACAAACCATTTATTAATTGTAGAAAATCTTAAAATATTTTCCGATACAATTATTATACTTCGGTTTTGTTGTTAGTTCTGCAGTCTAAATAGTATAGCTGTGCTCCATATTTATATCATCTAAGTGAAAAACATATTAATTATTATAAGTAATATACAAAATTAATAGTATCTTTTGGAAAAGATATGTTTATAAAACTTGTTTTTAAAAATGTTTATTGGAAATCTAAAGTAATCAAACCCATGGATAAAGATTAATGTTAGATTTGTCCCAATGTGTTATAAATATGGTCTAGAAGAATAAATACAAGGCGATTATTCGACCATGGACCAGCAATTACGAATATCTACTCAGATTTTGAGTAAATTTGGTTTTTTTTCAGGTATTACAAAGTAATAAGCACATGTTCAACTATTGATTTATTCAAATAGAAACCAATATATTATGGAATAAGTGTAAAATGTTGAAAATATTGTAAATAATATCATTAAAAGATTTTATATATTATTATCATGAATGAAAATTACCATAATCTGCAAATTTAAGAAAAATCATTGTATCTTCGTAACTAGATCGTGATAAAATAAGACCCATCCCATACATATTTTGGGTAAAAATCAATATAACGTTTGAGTGCATTATGTTTTATTTTAAATAAAACACGATCGTACGAAAATCTAACTAACCTACTTATTTATTCAAACCTGATACTGATCCAAAAAATTAGAAATATCCTAATTTTAAATATAAAGCTTAAGTCTAGTAGATAAAAAATCACGTCGGGTAGGTCAAAGGCGTCGGAAATAATCAGGATAGTACGAAAGTATCAATAAGGGATAATTGAAACACATTTTGTTGGAATAAATTGTCGTGATTAAAGTATTTTGTTTATGTACCCAATAAATTTGTTCTATGCTTGCAGGTTAAAACATCCAAATTCACCCAAACTTGCTAATCCTTGCTATTAAAAATTTTAGTTTTGACACAGAAAGCCTTCGAAAATCAACCGTTGTTGTATTAACGTGCGTAAACGTGCCGAAAAAGGATTCGCAAAAAAAAAAAAAAATCTAATCTAATCTAATAATCAAGGGCAAATGTAGAATCGGTTAACATAAAAATGTGTATTATAATATTGGTAGATATTTCAGTGTTAGATAGTTCAAATAATATAGGTAAAGACACGATCGCTATATACCGCGAGTATAGATCATTTTCTATTGTTTTGCGTTTTAGCAATAGCAGAAATTTACCTGTCTGCGGCGGATGAAAACAAAAGGAGGGGAGAATAAGCGTAAACATTTACCAAATTCGTCCGAAGGACCTTCTTATAGATACACCAACATCTAGGTATAATACTTATACACGTAATTGAAAACAATATTTAATTTGGCATATTTGTAATACATAAAAACGACGCAAATGTAAAATACAAAATATTATACTAGTTTACCTAATATTAGTATTTCGGTTAATTTTTGTATGAATTTTGAAGACTGCGAAGAATGTATTGATTTTACCCCGATGTGCGGTTTTCAACAGAATTTTCTACTAAAAATCTTCTTTCAATCACCGACCTTATAAGGATAGTATTTGTAAGTAACACATTTTTTCTAGTTGGTTCATTAATTGGGGTGGTAGATTTTTTTTCGTTATAGGGGTAGTTTTCAATAAATGGAAAAAACTTACAAAATGTTTTCTATAATTTTTGTTAATTTCTGGTTCACCTTAGCAACAAGAGAAAAATATAACAGTTAATACTCCGTTTAGAATTGTGTTTCGTTGAGTGTTGGTTTAAAATAAATTGTTCAATTTATCCTACCTATCAAATTTCCCTCGAAAAACAATATATGGAACACTCATCTGCAATATCGGAATTTTTTTCGCTTCTATGTACATATCGTTATACCGTGCGTGCCCACCTAAATAATGTTATATACTTGTACATACATTTTTGCGGTGACGACAACAACGACGTTTGTTCCAACAAAATGTATACAATAATAATAACGTGCAAACCGTGTAATAAAGGAGAGACCGATCCAATCGGCCACCTTCACATCCAAGGTCCCGTGGTACGCACACATATACATAGATACTTACATATACTTACATGCGTATACGAACACACGCACACATACACAGCCACATTAAAGTCTCAATGCCGCGGCGTCCGGAACAAGGAAGAGAGCGAGCGCGCGCGCGTATTATAACAAGCGTGCGGACAGTGCGAATCGGAAGTGAAGTAAACAACGACGCGTTACAGCCGCTGCCGCAGCCAAGTAAAAGGCGTAAATCGGTGTACCCAATAATGAATAACAATGTAATGCCCAAGTATAACATACGGGATATTGTACATTATTGTCAGCCCCGTCCCTCTCTCTGGTGCTATTCGATCGCTCGCTTGCTCGCTCTCTCTCGCATTTCGTACGCGTTTTTTTTAAACGCGCGCGCGGGACATCGGCTCGACGGGCCGACGTTTCGCCGCAGGCACCGCGGTAACGGCCGCGGCGGCGGTGGGGGCCCGGCGACATTGAACCGCCGGCGGTCCAATAACCCTGGACGGATTGGCGCACATGTTATATAAGCAGGTGAACGCCGCGGCAGCGTTTTAGTTGATTTTTTAATACGTACAGCCGTAGATTAAATACGCGACCCGTCGTCGCCAACCGTGTAACATAACAACAATCCGTGCAACGCATCCGCACGCACGGACGCCGCCGCCGTCGACATCAACGAGGGGGCTAGGGGGGTGCCATAATAATACATAGACTACCGAGCGCGCGTGTGCCGACGCCGCAACCGTAACCGAATATACCGTATACCGTGCATACCGAATACCGTAGTGTTCGGGGTGGTCACGCGCGATACTCGGTAATTTTTTCTTCTTCTCTTGTATACACGTTAACGGCAGCATAAGACGCGTGCGTTTCGGAAAATCCCGTCCCGCGCGCGCGTGTGTGTTTTGCAGTGTGTATAAAGTGTGCGTGGGTACAATAAATACAAGTTGGCCGTCGCGTCGTCGTCACGTGTTCGTTGTGGCCGATCGCGCGTATCGTGTAATGTGGTGAACGCTCGCGCTCACCATGGCGGCAACAACAGAAACGCAACAGCAGATCAAAGAGATCGCAACGGTCGTCGCCGAACAACAATCTCCCGCAGTCGCCGAAGACTTTACGGAAGAGAGTGTAGCTCCTTTACCGACCCCGAAGACCATCACCACACCGGTGCCGATCGTCGGCAAGGCTTTTGATCTAAAACGCGCCAGCGTGTCGTCCGTGGACAGCGATATATCCCTGTCGTACGACGCGGCTCCGTTTTATCCGCGGTCCCTTCAACAGAACGGCGGCGGTATGTCGTCGGCCAACAACTCCAGCGGGTCCGGCACCGACGACGGGGGCGTACAACGCTCGGGCACCGCCAAAATGGCCATCAGCAACACAGACTCATCCGATTCGGCGTACGAAGGAGGTCAAGGCAAGTCTAGTGACGAGTCCACGCCGTTCGTACAACCCGACGAAGAGACTACCAAACGCATACTCGACCAGGTGGAATTTTATTTCTCGGATGCCAACATCGTCAAGGACGCGTTCTTGTTAAAGCACGTCCGTCGGAATAAGGAAGGATACGTATCGTTGAAACTGATATCGTCTTTTAAACGGGTAAAACACCTGGCCAAAGACTGGCGTGCCGTCGCCTTCGCAATATCAAAGTCGGAGAAGCTAGAGTTGAACGAATCTGGCACCAAGCTGCGACGTAAGGAACAGCTGCCCGCTTTCGACCAGACTACGCCATCCCGTACCGTGGTGGCCATTAACCTGTCCGAGGAGAAACCGGTGACCATAGAAACGGTAGCTGAACTTTTCCGTAGCTGCGGTGAGATCGCACTAATCCGTGTGCTCCGGCCAGGCAACCCCATACCCTCGGATGTCCGCCATTTCGTCAACAAACATCCCGAGATGGGCAGCAACGTGAGCGCGCTTATCGAATTCGTGCGCACCGAATCGGCGCACAACGCGATGAGCAAAGACTGGTCCTCGGAAAAGGCTAAAGACGGGCAATCTATGAGCGTGCTCGAATTGAACGCGCCGGCGTCCAAGAAAAAAGCCACGGCGGCTGCCAAGAAATCGCCAATGAACAGGCTGTTCGATTCGGAATATTCGTCGTCGTGCCAGAGCGGTTCTGAGTCGGAAGACATGCGACAACAGAAGATGCGTATGCAGCGCAAGGTTTCGCCCACCACGCTGATGCGGTCAGATTCGTCGTGGAACCAGCGCAGGTGGTCTAGGGACTCGGGTACCGACAGCTCCGCGTCAGGTTACTCGCGCCGGGATATGCAGTACATACCGCCGCAACACCAAGGACAGCCCGGCGATTACGGCGGAAACAGACGTATGTCTTCCGGATGGGACTCGAGCTCGGATAGCTATTACTCAGGCCGATCGCGTTCCGGTAGTGGCGTCTCCATACCGGAAACGTTCGGCATGCGCCGCTTCTCGCTGGCTAACCGCTCGGAACCACAACAGCAACAGTGCTGTTGTTGTGGTGGCCACAACAATCAGCCACCGCAACTGCAACCGCAACAACAGCAACAGCAGCAATCCATGTCGATGCGTAGACACTCTACTCAAGAGAATCACCATCATTACGACATGAGACGGTGCAGCAGCAGCAGCAGCAACAGCGACATGATGGTGGGACGGAAGGACTCCACATCGTCTGACTATTGTTGCGGTGGCGGCGGTCCGCAGCAGCGAGACGGATTCCACAACTGGTCGCGCAAGAGCAGCTCGTCGTCGATGGGCGAGGGGGGTATGGGTCGGCGGATGTCTATGGATTCGGACTCATCCGGTGGCAGGAGTCGCCGGCCGAGCTTGGGACTGGTGACACCGGACAACGTGGTTAGGATGCCCAAGGGCCCCGACGGTTGCGGCAGCCGCGGATTCCAGAGGGAGCCACTGGTCGACTCCACGCTTTACGAATAATGAACACCAGTACATACATAATAATATATTATGTTGTTATCATCACAACGACACCACGCACATGCGACGGCAAAAAAAAAAAAACAAAATATTAGTTGGTTGACGATAATACATAATAATAATTAATATGAACATGAATATAGGTATACGTATAATTAATAGGCAGGAATAGTTTTATTTAAGCGGTTTTTTGGATATTTATTATATATTAAAGGTATACTTATAAAACAGTTTTTTTTTTTTTTTTAGAAATTAAAAGGGGCCTGCAGCCGCCGGATCCCTGTTTATTTATAACATTATTTAGTTAATTTTCGTGTATAATCGTATCACGAATAAGTCGTGCGCCGCGTCGACCGACAAAATCGGCTGTACGATTTTGCCGGTAAGACTCGTCTTATTTTTTTTCTTAACTAGTATAAATGCAGTAAAGTTCGTATTTTTCGCGTCGATTTGCAATATCTAATATTTATTATACGTATGTTTACGTAACGGCATACATAAGCAGTGTATAATAATATTATATTAATTTATTACGATTACGTTTATAAATTTATAATAATAATTATAGTACCTATATAGTTACACTTAAACGGGTTATTTATAAATCATTTTATTTATTTAATTGTAATAATATTCCAGGGACGGGGTCGGTTCCCCCCCGCCTCCCCTTGCCCCCAAATTCCCGACGAGGAAAAAAATAATCTGTATATAGGACGCAAACTCGGATAGGTATCTATTCCAATATTACTTCGTCTGGACACGTCCTGCCCTGATACGAACGATATTAACCGTCGGGGTTTTTTTTCTTCGTTTTTTCGGAAAACTACGTCGAGCAAGCCGCCTCAAAATGGAGGATATTTGCATTTCATCCGTAGATTTTTGTTTTTCTGTTATGGCGAAGGCGGGGGAAGAACACTGCCTGTGGCACGCCCTATATAATATTTTAGACAACATATTTGATATTTATATACGCTGACATAGTATTCCATATTTTTGTTTATTTATTATTATACTGTATAGCAGTATACCTACGTATTTTATTGTCGATGTACGCAATTAATTTATTAAAAACTAAATTATTATTTATCCGATTTATAATTATATTATATTACCCGGTTACCGGTATATTTGTAAAAGACCGCCTGCGTCTTACGCGAATCGGTTTGTATTTATTATTTATTTATATACATGCAAATAAACGTAATATATTATATACATTTACATGTACACTTATTATACATTATTATGGATACATAATCTAGAGATACTGGATATAATGCTATCTGGTATCTCTATACCTATACCTCAATTGGTTGTTTTATTTTTTCAAAATCGAAAAAGTATTTGTTCCTAATAAAGGTATATTTTAGATTCTGAACGTAGTGAGGAATGAATTGGTTTAACTATGATGTGTGGTTTTTTTTTTACGTAGCAGATTTTGTCAGCTTAGTTAGTGTATTGGGGAGCACGGACGTTGGTAGCAGAGATTATTTATAGTTGGGAAAAGGTTTCTTATTACCAATTATTTTTGATAGAGATGAATTGATATTTGAAAAATGCATTGAACTCTTGTAGTAATTCAAAAATAAAGACGGTTTAAACCACCAATCTCTTCCCCATTTCATTTTCTACGTCCCTCTTGGGAAGATTCTCCTTGAACTAGCTTTCTTAATACCACCTAATAATGGAAGAAATTAGGTATATTTACATAATAGTCAGTTTTTGTTATTTTAAATTATGTGTTTTTGTTGTATAATTCAAAGAAAATAATCACAGGGACCTTGCAATAACGTAGCTAGAAATATCTTTTTGGGGGTGGAGGAGATATACTTTAATCGTGATTTTGACTTTATCAAACAACCAACCATGTCTTTTTGTGTACTAGATACTTTATAAAAACCCCTTCTAGATATCTAGTTTTACCTATTTGAAATATTTGGAATTTTGAGATTTATAGTAATTATAGTAAATTTAAAAACACAAAATAAAAAGAGCCGATACTGAAGATGAGTGCGGCCACTGATGTTGGTTGATAGTTGAGACGGTGGGATATCTACTTAAAGTTATTTAATTTACACATGTAAGCAAGGATAATCCAATGCTAACGAAAAACGATTCGGAGCTATTTCGGTTATACATATTTTGAAAGGCTGTAATATTTACGATTTTCGTCAAAATTTGATTTTAAAACTCTTATAAAAGAAAAAATATCACATAACAATAACTTATTTTTATTTTCGATGAGTAAGTACAATTTATAATGAACCTCTATAAAATTTTCAAGTATTTCTGTTTAGACTAATAATTTTATCCACATAGTACGAGTACCTGCCGAATAAAAATTACGTAAAAACTCGCTAAATATTAAAACGTCTATCAACAGCACAGCAATGGTCTAAATGATTTAAATATTGTACCATGTCAAAAAAAGCAAATATAAGTTTTCTATCGATATTTTAAGTCTTTAAAAATATTTTTAACTGAATAACAACAAAAAAAAAATAATAATAAAGAATTAATTTCGTACATTTTTCCGTTATTTTTACATACCTATTTTTTCAGTTTTGCCCAATTAATAAAAAATAAGTATGGGGAAAATCAAAAAACGACTTTCTTATTCACCAACCAAATTAAAAATGTATATATTTTAATTTTTTGTCCATTTTCAGTTTTTTTTCGATTGTTATGAAAACTACTTAAAAAATCAAAAAATTACTTCTCTAATATACCAACGAAAGAAAATTATATTTTTCAAAAAATCAGCTTCACTTGATATATTGGAGTAAAATTTTTAGTAAAAAAGTTGTTTGGACAGGAAAAACAAAATAATACAATAACACACATCATAATGAAACCGTATGATACCGTACATATGAAAATAAAAAGTGTTTTTATTTTATTATTTTAAATTTGTGTGATGTATTTTCTACCACAAATAGTGCTCCCATCAAAAAAACTTCAAAAGATTTTGTTGCATTTTGGATCTAGTTGGTGAGTAAGAAAGTCGTTTATTGTTATTCTGTGTAATTTGTTTGACAATAGAGCAAAACCGGGGGAAAATAGGAAGAATAGGAAAGATTGCGGAAATAATGGTTTCAATATTTTCTTTTGTTGTTGTAATCCAATTAGAAATAATTGTAGAGGCTAGAAATATTGATAGAAAACTTGTATACTTTTCTGGACCTGGTAAAATTAACAAAATATTTTTGGCAATTTATGATTTATAGGTAAGTATCTATTTTATTTGTTAGGTAATATGTGGACATATTTGTTTGACCAAACGGAAATATTTGACAATTTTTATTGCTTGTTCATTTTAAGTTGATCAAATAAAAAAAGTATAATGTAGTAATTATTTTTTTATTGTTTTAATGGCAATCGTTAATATAATGGACTTTAAAATCATGTATACCTAAGCGAAATTGGATCAGAATCGTTTTTAGTTAACAATGGTTTAACATATCCCACCTACAACAGTGGCACATCTATCAGCATTATCAGCTCTTTTCTTTTTACTTTTATTAATTATTGGATTTTATTATTTGACTTTTCTATAAATTCGATAGCTCTACCATAATATAAAAACTAGGTACCAACTTTTAATATATAGGTAGCACTTTCTAGATTGGTGTATTCATTTTAAATGTTCCTTCTGGTATTATATTTTTTTAGTATCAATAGGTATGTCCCATATATCTGATAATTCAAATTTGTATTAAGTAGATTAATTTATGTAACTTGAATTATTATTTTATTTTAATTGTATTTTTAATAGCTTGGACTATTACATGCATGGATTAAAAATACATACAACCATTTAATTATTAGTTATCTCCCTTAAACGCCCAAAAATTATAGTATAATTTTAAATAGAAAAATTAACAGCCCAAACATTTGGGATATATTTTTTAGAGTGAAAAAAAATTTTTTTTTTTTTGTATGTTAAAATTGGAATTATTCGACAAAAATGTAACTTATTTCTAATTAGTTATTTCTTCATGTACTTTTTCTATCTCACATTAGTCATTGAATTGATTATTATATTCATAGATTAATTATTAAATTAAGATTCAATTTTTCTAGACTTTAAGATAACAAGTTTTTAAAGCTACAAAGAATTTTTCTTAAAGGAAAAATGGACCAATAACAACACAATGAAATGATTATATTACAAATTAAGCACTTACTAATATTTGTTTAGATGTTTTACAAGACATTTTTAGAATAAATACTGAACTGAATTATTGAGCAATTAAATGCAGTAAATAAATATAAATAAGTTTATAGTTTCATATATAAAAAAATGAACTTCACATAAATAAATTATAATATAGAAGAGTTGTCAGAATCTTCTTCCTCAACCTCGTTTTGAGTTTTATCATCGCCCAAAAGTTTAATTAAATTGTCTGCTTCGTCTTTGTCTTCACTTATATTATCATCTTCATCTTCTTCATCGTCATCACTATCATTCTAAAAATAAAAATAATCATAAATATATCATATATATTCTTATACATTTGATAGTTAAACAATTACTTGTGATAAAATTTCTTCTCCTTTAATATCTATGTTTTTCATAATGCCCATAAATAATGCATCAGTACAACCATTAACGACAATTAAATTTTTTACTTTTAATATTAAGGTTTCTAGTATACCCCTTATATTTGGTAAACAATTACTCAGTGCATTATCTTTAACCACCTTAAATGTGATGTTTGTATTAATTTACAAAAATATATATTATTAACTTTTTGTAACAAAATAACTTACTTTAGTGTAATTACAAATATTTTGTATATATCTTGTAATAACTTGAAGGTTTTTCAAAACTTTTGACACTTCTTTTGTACGAAGTTTAATTAAATTTTGACACACAATCATTCCTTCAGCCAAGAATAATTTTAACAATAATATAGAACCCTGTAAATTAAAATTATATTTTATAATAAATTACAAACAATATTGGTTTTATTTTAATTATTACTTTAACAAATATTAGAAGATTAAAACGTGAATCTTGTTTTTTTATAGTTTGAACAATTTTTTCCATCACATAAATAGCTGAATGCCACACAGTTAGACGATCAAATTCACTTTCACTAGATTTCAAACTATTTTTCACAGAACTCAATAAAGAGTTTAGTATAACTTTGATTAAACACTTGAAATTCATTCTAAATGAATGTATAGTAATTTAAAATAACAATATAACAATTTTAATTAACTCCCAAATTACTTGTTAATTGTTGGTAAGGTTTTTAGTCTGTCAGTCTTTAACACTACTGCTAAAGTTTCTTCTTCTAACCAATCAACAATTTCCACTAATTTGTTTAATTGATCATTTTGACATTGTAAATAGATTTCAAGTAAAAATTGAATATTTTCATTGTATTTTGGACCACTTTCTTCTAAGCCGTTAAATAAATACCATTGTCGTGTTAAGAAATTCCAACATAGTTCATCTGAAAAAAAAAAATGATTATATAGAAAAATAAAAATATTATATAGTTAATTATATATATAATTCATAGTTATACATCTTATTAATTACTTAAAATAATATCATTTTCTGGCTCTACAGCAAAATTTTTTAAAATTTGAATAATGGTGACTAAGTTAACAGCAGCATCTAAATGAAGCACAATGTGTTGAAATTCATTTAAATACTTTATTTTTTCTAAAATTAATCCCTTTTTACACATCTGATGTTTAAATTGTGTACTCTGACTACTCAAATCTGTTTTATTAATCATTTTCTTCAAAGCATCTAATATAATAAAAGGTAATAATAAATCAAATGTATATAATTATTGAAATATTATATTGTGGTATGATAATTTATTGGTAAAAATACAAATTTATCTAACGTATAAAAAGTTCATCTGTGTCTGAAGATTGGAAATCTTTCCATTGCAATAATACAACAATACATTTAAAAATTAATCCAACACAATGTTTCATGTCAATGGCATCTTTCATAAACATTCCAGGAGAATCCAGTATGTTGTCATTTACCATTAATAAATTCTTCAAAAAAATAAAATCAAATAAATAAATAAAAAAGTATACAGTTATAATTATCAATGTCAATACGTATTGTGTAACAATAGCTACCTTAAAGAATGCTGACAGAGTTTCTAAATCAGAAAATAAGTAAGGAAAAAGTTTGATGAAATTTCTTATTAATGTTTTAGTAGGTATTAATGAAACACTATTAAACCCAACAGTATCTTTGTATTTAGTTTTACTTAAAGGACTGATCTTTTTATTTTTAAAAACAACATGTTCCAACTTTTGTAACACGTCTTCCAATAAATAACGTAACTCAGAAGGTCCTAATTCTGGTGTAAATTCTTCATTCTAAAAATAAATTGAATTCAATAATACCAATTGTAAATAATATAGTTAAATCTAATATAACTAACATTTTCAGGGGTAGGATTAACAACAAATTTCTGAGTTAGTATTAGCCAAGTATCAATATCAAGCTCACGGAAATAGTCATGATAAATACTGATATCTACTTCATTTTCAACATTTATATCATTGCTATCATCTACTATAGATTCATCCATCATAAATTCCTGCGATTTATTTTTTTTTTCTTTTACAATTTTTTTACTCTTCTTATGAGATTTTTGCTTTGCTTTTACTGGTTTTCTAAATAAAATAAAATATATTTTTATAGTTACATTATGAAAAAACATTATATACTTAATTGTATAGTTACTTTTTAATTTTATTAAAAATTGGTTTATCTACATTCAACCCATAATAACAAGATGGTGGGATATATTCTGGTTCATACATTACTGACAAACACTTTTTTATTTCTTTAATCAAATACACAATTGTTCTTAATCTAATTAAAACCTGTTAAAACAATTAAATATACTATAGACCCAATATTTTTTTAAATAATGACAATTCATTTACTTTGCTTCCATTTTTTTGTTTAATCAAGTATGAAAAACAATTAATAACTTCGCGAAACCAATTTACAGCATGAAAAAGTGTATTAACAACTACAATTTGTTGTTCTGGAGATAACATTTCAAATTCTTCTATTGTTTTACGGGTAGGCATTACAAGTGGACATCCTAATAATGCATCAATTTCACTCAAATCTTCACGCTCTAAGCCTCTAACCAAACGAAACATTGACATTAAAGCATTTGAAGTGCAGCTTTGTAATCCCATTAAAGCATTATCAATTTTTTTTACTTCGTCAATGACTTTAGGACATAAATTGAGAGCAATAATCTCATCAAGCTCTTTATCTAGACAAAATGCTAAAGAGCAATCTACTAAAAAATTCCTATATTTGAAAAAATGATTATAGTTATTTAAACAAGTTTACAAAAGAAAATAACAATCTCTACTATCTTATTTGAACTTTTATAATTTAAACACTGTATATAATAGAGTTATCATGAGTATTAAGCCAGTTAAAAAAAAAAATTGCGCATTACTTTATCCAAACCTATAGAAACTCTTGACATCATCAATGCTGTTAAGTAGCATATATAGTAAAAGAGCTGGATTATTATAAAAAGAAAATTGACTTAACTTAAAAAATATTCTATTTATAAGACATAATATAGCAAATTTTTAATGAAAAATTATCTACATTTTCATTAATAATAATGTACGCAATAATTTAATACCCTATAATTATTTTACACATTAAAAAATTCAGGGATAGCAAATACGATTTGTTCAACGTGCTAATTTATCTTTTAATAAAAAAAAGAGGACATCATAGGATAATGGTGACGGGTGCAGCCACTGCTATAGGTAATTTAATGTACATCTGTTAGCAACAATTAACCATTGCTAACAAAAAAACTATATTCTGAGCGAAGTCCTGTTGATAATGATGCTTTGTTAACACTATATATCTCATATTATGGTAAAATAATTAAATAGGGATTATATATTATAATACTATATTTAATAATATTTTTTACTGAACCGATTTTCATAAGTTTTTCCCGGTTTTTTACATTTTCTGAAAAAACTCTTAAGAAAAAAAAACAAAATACTGAGAAACATCTGCGGCCCAGTATATGACAACAAACTAGTATGCTGGCACTAAAGAAGGAATAAAGGCATTTGAGATTTAACAGGGGTTCCAAAGATAATCAATTTTATAAAAGCACAAACAATGAAATGGTTTGGGGACATGATGAGAAGGCCCAACTCAGAGTATTTTAAAGCGGCGGTTAAGTGGAAACCCATAGGGAAGAAACCAAGAGGACGTCCAAAGAAACAATGGATAGATGGAATAAAGCAGGACTTACAGAAACTAGAGATACCGAATCGGGCAGAAAAGGTACAAAATAGAGAAGAGTGTAAGGAGGTGTCAGTGGCGGAAAAACTCTTGAAGAATTGTGATGCCAATGAAGAAGAAGAAAAATAAAATAAATGAATTAATCAATCGTGAGTTGCGTTTTTACAATTTGACTATGATGTACCTGATGATGAACTTTTAATTTGAAATTGGTCATATAATACTCTAGACGATTCATTCATTTATTTATTTTTTTTATTTATATATTTATTTAATATATTTCATACATTTTGCGGTTTTTTAAATTTGATGAGAAAACTTAAGAAAATTGAAAAATGACCTCCCTAAAGTTCCTCTCCACATCGATTTCCTTTCAGAAAAGGTGCTACAATTAAAAATCCGGGATATTCTTCTGGTAGAAGAGTTGTTAACAGATAAAAAAAAAAAAATCTTTTAAAACCATAAGCTTCTTTGCTCCATTCAGAATCTAAAATCAGATATTACTTGGTACTGTGGAAAATTTGAAACCCAGCACAACTCTATTATATACTTTATAATATAATAAGGTTACATAATTATAACTACATATTAATAGTTACCCATTTTTAAAATCATTAGCTGCTATCAAAAAACTATATTGAAAGTTTTTTTTCATAACTGAAGATACAGCAAACTAAAAAATATCCAAAGTACACTATAAACTATTTAAGACTAAAATACTTGGAATTAATTAATGCACTAATAAAATTACCATGAATGTATTATCAAAGGAAAGGCCGTGGAAGAGCATAAGGGCAAATTGGTCAAAAAACAAAATCTGAGAGTCTGTATCTGATTGAGTCCTAGTTACTAATAATTCTATAACATAAAATCTGTATTAAAGTCCAAAAGAGGGACAAAATTATAAATAATTACCAATAAGGGAGTAAGCTTCCTTTGCCTTTTTACTGAGCACAATATTATCTTCATTTGATTTATCAATTGGTATAGATTCCTGGTCAGAAGAAACTAGGACTATATGTTTGGTTAACATAATTGCACCAATAATTCCAACTCTTTGAGATCTATAATACCAAATTAAAAAAATACATATTTATTATTAGTATTTTTTATTATGTTTTATATAATCATGGCTACCATATGAAATTCTATTTTGAATTTTTGTGATTCCAGGATATTTTTTTCAATTTACCAGAGTAAAAAAATAATAGGAATTAAAAATATATTTGTTAAATTTTTTTTTAAATTTAATACTATTGTTAATAGAAAAATTAATAAACGTAATAATACATGAGTGTTTTAAAAATGGACAGAATTTATAGTATTAAATAACAAATAAAATAAAAATTATGAGAATAATAATAATAATAATAATAATATATGATAATTTTTGCATTTTAGATAATTGATAATTTATGAAAATAAATATTGAAGTTTCAAATTCAAATTCCCCGATTTTATATATTTCCAGAAGTCATGGTAACTAAGTTAGTTAAAATAAAATGTATTTACATAATATCAAGGGCACAAAGTTCTTTTTGTACAAATATATTAATCTCATCTTGAAATACAGAACAGTTATTAATACCATCTGGGCCTTCTGAATAGGCAATTTTACATAACATATCTAAAACTTGAGCTATATCTTTAGTAGAAAAATCATAAATTTTATTCATAAAAACAGACTAAAAATAAATAAACAACAGGATTTAAATTGCATTCAAACTAGGTAATTTATCAATGTAAATACTACATACCATTAAACGAGTAGCTAGTGGTTGAATTTTATCGATCCTTTTTTCAGCCAAATCAGTTAATATATTTAATACATTTTCAACCGTCAACTTATTACCTGTACCCAACAGAACAAGAAGTTCGTCCACCATCCATTTACACCAACATTGATCAATATTAATAAAACAATTACTAAAAATGAAAATATTAATTAAGAAAAAGCAATTATTTTGTTAGGTATTATACAAAATACTTACACTATCATGCTAGTTACGACTTCAATAGAAACATGGTCTGTAGCTTTTAAAAGATTAGAAAATAAATCAATAAACATTTCAAAATATTGTTTAAATACCTGAAAATATAATCAATATTTAGACAAATTTGAATATTTGTTAATCCAATACTGAACTAATTAACCGGAGTAAATATTTGGAAAGTCTTCTCCATAATTTCATAGCGAAAAAATCCATTCTTTAAACGTTCTTTAAAAACTGACAATATTGTATTTTTGGTTGAAATATCATGTGAAGCTGCTGAATAAGTCAAAAACAGGATAACAACATCTAATGGTCTAAAATATATTTAAATAAATAAAAATAAAATATAGGAATGCAGAGATCACATTTATGGTAGGCACTTCAACCTACGTTTTTATTATTTTGGATTTAATAAAATTATTTTTTTAAAATTATAAATAATTACACCAAATCAATGAATAATAACTCTATCTTGTTTAAATATTCATATAGCAAGAAAATTGATAACAAAATTCAGTATGTGTTTTAAATTATATTAACTTGATATCTCGGCATTGTCTGTAACAACTAAATGTATATAAATTAGAGATGTGACAAACTGTTAGATTTCCGTGCTGAACTTGAACTGAAAATGGCAAATAATCAAACCAAACCAAATACCCTAAAGTTTTTTTCGAAAATCATTCGATGCTGATTTTATGTGGTCACTAATACAATGTTCTGTGGTGGGCCAGAGATGTTACAAAGAAAAATTTTATTTTTTCGAATTAGTGGATCTCATAACGGTAAATCACGGAGCCAAGCAGATTGAGAACCTAGGTTTTTAACCTAACCTAACTTTTTTAATGTTCGAATTCGATAAAATATTTTAAAAGTTCGGTTCAGTTTGGGTTTGAATAAAAATGTGTAGGTTCAGTTCGGTTTTATTAACTTTAAAGAAAGTTTGGTTTGGTTCGGTTCAACCTTAAAAATCAGGGTTCATAACATCTCATTATGTAAAAATACAATTTTTTAGCAATGTCACCAAAATAATGTAAAAAAAAAATTAAAAATATAATTTTCAAATTATAAAACCAAAATTTCAACCACTCTTTGGAGATCAAATTTCCAAAAAAACCCTTTTGACTATCTTTTTACATTATATAAGGAATTTCTTTGATAATTTCAATTTTCTATATTCTATTCAGAATAAGAACATAGGCAGGACAGGCAGCATGGTTGTCAAATTGTTTTTAGACTTCCGCCTGGATATATTCTTATTCTGAATGGAGTACAGACCCAGTCATTCTTGAAATACAATGATGAGTCAATGAGTTAGTGTTGTTTAACTTATATATATTTACTTGTGCCCTGCATGAGATTGTACTTGACTAATTATTTTTATCCAAACATCCAATAACAATTTGCTGGATAAAAACTTATCATATATACAACTAAAGATAACTAGTTGTAAACTTTGCATATTATCATTGGTTAACATTTGAGAAATACTATCTGAAGTTGAAAATGGAAGTTCTGATCTTAATCCATTCACAATCTATTAATAAGCGCAATTGAAATATTTTATGGACCAAAACACTAACAATTAAAATTAACCTTTTCAGCTACGGTACGATCATCAACATTAATTAAAAATCTAACTAATGCTGGGAGCACATCTAGTGGAGTATGATGAATCATTGGTATTAGATCCATTTGAATGAATGCTAGTTCAGTTTTACTGATGTTTAGTTGACCAATAGTTTCCAAAATACATGCCATTAAATCTTTATCATTTCTAAGAAGTTTGCTAAAAATGTGAAAATTATACATTAAATAGTTATCAAATTAATAATCTTTATTAATTATATTGTCTACCATAACTCATCATGTGCATCATGATCAATGTTATCAAGAACTATATCTGGAATTGTCATAACTAATTCCCTTTTGATGTCAATATCAGGCATTACATTTAAATTATCAAATAATTTATTGCAAACTTTTTTCAAATCCATAATGCTATATAGTTGTTTAAATGGTTTAAGCAATAGCCGTACCCACTTATGTATGGACAAAATTGAATCTTCTCTAAAATAACACATTATTCAAATGAAACGTTTAGTCAATGGCCATAAAATAATATAATAGTGTAAATTACGTAAAATCTTCTAAGCTTATTTCTGCCATTTTATCAAACAAAAAATCTATCAAGTTTGATTGAAGTTGAGGAACTTGAAGTAGAAGACGAGCTAGAGAATCTTTTTGTTGCTTAAGTTTTTTTTCTGGAATGGCCTAAATATTGATTTTTTAACTATTATCATAAAAAGAAAAAAAAAGAAATTTATAATTTTTAATGGCTTACTTTACATGGTGAAAGAACAACATAAAGTGTTATTTTATCATTGTGGTATGCTTCAAATTCTTTAAAAAATTTATTTACAACATCAGTTATACCAATTTCTTCAGAATCATTAGATAATTTAGATTTAAGTTTCTGCAAGAATATATACTCTTCTACACCTAAAACATAAATAGGTGCATTTTAAAAATTGTTTAATATTCAATGAATATGAATATAGTTGATTAGCTTACTTAGTATGTTTTGATCACACTTCAAATGTAAGCCACAACTAAACAATGTTTGTTTTAAATAAGCATGGGGATCGTTATTTTCATCAAATAAGGCCTGAGATCCATTTATTGTATTGTCCTCATTATCTGTCATAGTTTTTCTTTTTTTCTCATTTGGCAAATCAGTTAAGTCTTCAAGCATTGAGGGTGACTCTGGTGATTCTTCATCACTTAAAACATTTTTCTGAGACATTAAAGACATACTTGGAGTATCAAAGCTAAAAGAAGCACTGTGCGTAGAATTTGTAGACGATTTTGGATATGGTGATGAATCATTTTCATTTGTATTAATTTTCGGTTTTGTAAACTTCCTCTTATACATAATTATTTAAAAAAAAAAAAGCAAAACTTAAGAAAATTGATTTTGTTGGATGATCGTATTAACAATTAATTTAAACTTAATAAATTGTTTTCTATGATATAATTTTCCAAGTTACAAGATGACGGAATGTTCTTTAGTGGATCATCAGTTTCGTTTTTGCGGGTTTTTGTTTATCACGTAATCAAAAAACAAAAGTATAACCTTAAAATGGCGGTTAATATTACCGTGATATCACAGATTATATGATTAATCATATAATTTATAGGGAGAATAAAAAACATCACAAATACAGGGTAGAGTTAGAAAAATTTAAACGTCGATAATCTTTTTTCTGTGGTCGATATTTTAATTTTTGAACAAAAATTTGAAAGAACGTGCAATTCTTGAGTTATAATTCCGACACAATTTTGAACAAGCGAAAAATAATTAAACGACTACATTTTAAATATTTTCTATGATAAAATGATCTATTATTGAAATAAGTGTAGAAATTATAAAATTTAACATCTTTAAAATCATAGACCTATAAACATATATTATCAAGTCTATGTTTAAAATGTTTTAGTGCTTAAAATTTGCAATAAAGATAAAGAAGCTAATGGCAATAGTTTTCATTTTTAAAATAATTTTTGTCGATATTAGCGACGAGTCACCGAATTAGATGTTTGATATGCGCATGCACGTCGTGACTTGTATGTCACTAAGTATGTGACCAAGTATGTGACTTGTCACATACTTATCCACAGATGATCAGTAAAGATCACGCAGGGATGACCCTTATATCATAATATGATAATATTATTATTATGCGACGAGTTACGTCGCGCATGCGCACATTGAACACCTAGTTCGGTGACTCGTCGCTAATATCGGCAACAAAATAATACGCAATGACTACATCCATAGTATATGATCTAAAGATTCTGAGTAAAGTGATGGACGTATTAGTTTTACAATGATATTTATTGTTTTTATTATTATTTTAAATTCTGAATGGAACGAGGAATGTATTGGTGTAAAACCAAAAATATAAACATCATTGTACAAATAATGTTTATTTTTTTTATGTGAACACTTTTTCTACCATAAAGTATACTCCGATTATTAAGTATAGCACCTTTTTCGAAAGAAAATTTTCTCTAGGTGGTACTTCAGAAAGTTCATTTTTTGAAATTCTCATTTATATTCGAAATAATGAGGAAAAATTCGGTCTTTAGGTTAAAAAAGATTGAAAGATTAAAATTAAGGTTGTCCATTGGCAACCGTTTTTATTTATTTTTTGTTATTATTAAGTTTTTATTATTTTAATCTTTTTTATACAATTATTGTTATCATGGAAACACACAATGTTTTAATCATTTTACCATAATATGACATAGTACCATATATTGTATTGTTAACAAAGCAACATTATCAACTTGACTCGGCTCAGAATCGTTTTTCGTTAGCAATGGTTTATCTTTGCTTACAGATGTACATTAAATTCCCATCTGTAGCCTACCTTCCCAACTTCCCATCTAAAACAGTGGCTACACCCACGTGCGAAGTTTGCCGGTCCTTTTTTTTATATTGTACATATAAATTTTACCAAAAATCTTATTCCGATGTATCATCAAGTGTAGTATTTTTTCTGAAAGACATTTTTTTTTGGTTCTTTAGAGTGATCATTCTTTGATTTTCGAAGCAGTTTTTATAATAATTAAAAAAAAAACTTAAGAAAAACTGGAAAATGTATAAAAATAATACATTTATTATTTTAAATTTTGTTTTTTTGTTGTAATTCTGTTCAAAATTTTAAAGAGACTTGAAATTTTAATACATATCAAAATTTCGGTACATATCGGAGCAATATTTCTGGTAGAATTTTTGTGCACAATATAAAAAAAAATAAAAATAAATATCATAGTAAAACTACTACAATACATTCCTCGAGTTAGCTTACAATCTAAAAAAGGAAGCGAATTTGAGTTCATGAAATAAATAAAACAAAAGACAATATTATAGTGAATACCATCATTTATGTCGTGAACTGGAGACCGCTTTTATTTATACTTCCGGATGTCCCAGGATAGTTTTGAACTATATGAACTACCAAAAATAACGCACTACTAACAGTATTAGCGCCGGGTTGCTCATGGCTTTTAATTATAGAGTAATGTTGCTGCAGGCATGTCTTCGATATTGTAACTCATTATTTTACTAAACAATTCCATACCTACCATTAATTTCATCTATAAACTTTTTGATACATTTAATTCTTCTGAGTTCTGAGACACCGAGTAGTAAAATTTTTTATAAACCCTTCAAAAATAATTCACAGCAGATTATCTAAATAAAATGACTGAAATGTTTAAATAAAGTGGATCTGATATGACACGACCAGTTTTAACTTGTTAAAAACTAACAGTTGATTGGTATCTATATGTGGTTTAAAAATGCTGCGGAGTTCATTAACGTAAACAATAATAAAGATCTTTGTACAGACCGTATAAATTAATACTTTCTTAAAAATTTGTTTGAATCATTTCGTCAACAGGACTGTACCAACATTAACCCAACTCCTATACTGTTTATTTGGACATTCAAAAGTATTTTTAGTGTTAAAATTTTAGACATTCTCCTAACGCGAATTGAATTGAAGGCATTTATAATGTATTATGTCAAATAAAATGTCATAGTTCTTAGGTACTCGTTTGATGAAACAGTCAATTCAAGAAAACTAATTTTGTTTTAACACTGAGTAATTTTAAATTTAAGCTCATTAAAATTGGTACAGTTGATTATAGAAATTTGTATAGTTTTAGATTCTGAGTGGAGCGAAGGAGCTTATAGTTTTACAAAGATATTTATTTTTTTTTATTTGTGCACAACTTGCAACTTTTCTATAATAAGACTTGCTCGGGTTTCTACATATAGCACTTTTTCTGAATAGAAATCGGTGTGTAGAAGTCCTATAGGGAAGTCGTTTTTCCATTTTCTCCGAAATTTTCTCAATAAATGTGAAAAACTGAAAAAGAAACAGGAAAACGTACGAAGTATATTTGTATAATATTATGAAGTTTTTTCTCGTTGATAACTTTTCTACCAGCAATTTCGCTCCAACTTTTAATTATAGCAATGTTTCTAAAAGAAAATTTCACTAGAGAGGTACTTCAGAGAGTTCATTTTTCGATTTTCTCAGAAGTTTTCTCATCAAATTTGAAAAACCAGGATATAATATGGGAAAACCGGGAAAAACGTAGGAAAACTAGGAAAATCAGTACAACATGAAACAAATATTATTAAAGATAATATATAAAGACCACTTAATTATTTTACTATAAAATGACAAATATATTGTTGACAAAGTATCACAATCAACTAAACTCCGCTCAGAATCGTTTTTTCGTAAACAATGGTCTATTGTTGCTTATAGGTATGCATTAAATTATCTATAACAGTGGCTGCACTCGTTCCCATATCCTAGGACGTCTTTTTTTTTTATATTAAATGATGCAAATGGTTATCAAAATTAAATTCATATATTATATAATTGATTTATTAAATTTAAATGCATTGACTGTTATAATTCTTTGATAAGGCAATTTATGTAATAGTGTGATTGTAATAAAAAAGTGCTGTTTCTAGACCACAAACTAAGATATCATCTTAGTTCGTGCTCTACACGCTCGTTACCGCACACATACCGAGCTAAGTTTGAGAGGGCACAACTTTTATTAATATTGAACGAAATTATTACATTTCTTTATACTAAAAATGATTTTATTAATATAATATATTATTATTAAATATTATGGTATGGGCTATAAATGTGAAGTATGCAAAATTGGTTATGCAGCTGCAGATTCCAAGATTTAATTATATAAGTAGGAGAATTATTTATAATAGTTTGTGTTAACTGTTAATGGTGTAGTAAAAAAAAATAATTTTACCATAATGTTAACAAATTTCCTAAAGATGAGTATTTAAAAAAAGTCTGGTTGGATGCATGTGGTATCAAAGATTTTGCCATCGTACAGAATTTGTGATAAACATTTTGCAAAAGACTGTTTTTATGAAAATGGATATTTATCAAGAAAAGCTGTGCCATTTTTGTCCTAGGCTAAATTATCTAATAAAACTAATGTTAGGTAAGTTATATGTTATAAGTTGTTTTAAATATTTATTTAATTATTTTGTTTATAGTGGAAGTGGATGCAAGAGGAAATTACCTTATGATAATATTGTTCCATCAGAAAATGTTTTTCAAAATACTAAACTTATAAAAACCACTAATATTGATAATTCTAACCGATATTTTCCATTTGAAATACTTGATAATCCAATTACGGTGTATGTATATAAATATTATTTCATTTATTAGTAAGGTATAAGGTCAATGAATTCATATAATCCTTAGTGATATAATTAGTTGATACATAAAATATTTACATTTTTAATGTAAATAAAAACGTGGCAGCCATTTTTCGTTAGTGGAGTTTATCAATATAGTATTATCAGTACTGTTTTTTGGTTTTAAAATTTATAGACTATTTGATTTTGAAGTTCATATTTTCGTTTTCAATTTGGATAATTATTATACATTTTGGTAATTTCTAATATTATATATATACTACATAATATGATAAAATGTCGATACATAGTGGTTATTCCTTCAAATTTATTGAAAAGGCTTATGGAAAAATGAAAACCATAAAGAAAACTGTTAGTTTTTTTTTCAATTTCCATAAGGTAAGTAGTTAATATTATATTTATGTAATCCATTAAAAAATGCAGTGGTACTTGTTAAGTATAACACCTACACTTTACGGTAATCAATTTATCATAAGACTCATTATCTCAGTAAGTATTATCTTTTTCCTTAATTTATTTTCTAGAATATATATGAAAAGAGCTGCTCTGCAATTTTATATTTATGTTACTTTTTGTTACCCTTATTTTCAGTAGTAAAATCACCACCTATTTTTGACTTTCAAATGACACCCTATATTTAAAATTTCATAAATAGATGGAGTATTCTTTAAAACAAATTTTAGTGTTTAAATTTTTAATTTCTGTCAATCCGTTGATGAGATATTCCACTTTTTATTACTCATTATTAATACTCTAAAACCTAACCGCCACCCAAATGATACTCCACCACTCTCTCCCAACCCAAACTTAAAAGTGGAATATCTCATCAACGGATTGACAGAAATCAAAAATTTCAACACCAAAATTTATTTTAACTAATATACCATCTATGTATGGAATTTTTAATGTAGGTTGCCATTTGAAAATCAAAAGTAGGTAGTGGCTTTACCCCCAAAAGTAGTCGTGACAAAAAAATAATAAAATATAAAATTGTAGAACAGCTTGTTTCTTAAATATTGTAATAAACAAATTCTGGAAAAAGTTTTTGAGATAATGAGTATCTTACAATAGATTGATCACCCTGTATATGATAGTTAAATATGCTACAAGTAAGTTTTAGTGTATGAAAGAGTACATAAAAAATGTGGGGTCCACATTGGTCGAAAAAACAAAATAATTTTCCATACTGATGATACTAAGTTAAGTAAAACCTGTACAAAAAAAAAACATTTAGTTTGTGCTATTAATTTTTTGTAAAATTATTTTATATTATAGGTAGCATACTTAAGAAAATTAATATATAATGCAGGTAGGCATTTTTAATGTAGATATGTAGCATACTTAACGAGTACCAAGTTTTGCCATTTAAATTAACTAATTATTCCTTAACATTTTTAGGCATGCTATTTGGTTAGAATTTGGTTTGATATTCTATTCAAACCTTCGAAATTATGTCGTAAATATTTTGAGAAAAATATATTTCCTATTGATCTAAAAATATATTCAATCACATGATATATCTACACTATTTCCAGGTATGTACGAACTAGTATGAATTTATTGACATCCATTTATTAATAACTATTAAATATAATACATTTTTTTAGAAATGCGTGCTAGTATTGATAAAACTTTTTCTCCTGGAACATCAACATAATTTTCTAATTGGTTTTTTTAAGTCCTAGTAAGATTTAATTTAACAATTTTACAAAATTGTCTTTCATTAATTTACTGTATACTTATTAAAAATACTTTATTATGATTTAAGTTCTTCAAAAGGTTAGCAATTCTTAAAATTTAGTCTGATACTTTTCACCGAGAAGACTAAGTTATTATGTGCACAATTGAAAAATATGAAAAAAAACTCTTAAAGCTGACAAAAACAATTTTAAGCTTGAGCAATCAATTGACTAAACATAATATTATTGATAATTATCTCTTGTGTGAAAACATTTTTCATCTTCTGTACTAATTATTGTGAAATCTCATATGATGTAAAAAACCAAAAACTCTCATAGGTACAGGTATACAGATGATATAAAACAATTAGCGTCGGCAATCTATTTCTTAGACACAACTGTATATAGGTTTTTACTTAGGTACTTAATTATTTATTTAAGTTATACCCATTTATCTTAAATGATTGTTATTCACTTCACCCCCCTCAAAAAAAAAAAAGAAAAAAATGTTAAAACCAATATTATAATTTAACAGCCAAGTGGAGAAAACATAATATTCCTAAGCACCTAATTTTCAGAAAATTAAAAAAAAAATGAATTTCCTAGTTTAATTTCAATAAAAAAAACTTGTTTCTCCAGCATACATTACCCAATAACTAATCTTAGAAAGTGAAATATTATATTTTATAATCTAATTATATTAGTCTACCTTTCAGCTATAAAATAGTTCTTTTTTTTTTTTGTATTTTTGGAATAGCTATAATTATCCTTTTTATACTTAGCAGTTCAATTCAAATTATTATTAATTGAGTATTAATTTTTGATAAAAATTATATTTTTTTTCGCATGGTTATACTGATTAATCTGGTTACCATGTTTTGTTTGTTTCATATTATGAAACAAACATATTAATTTCAATATATTATATTTACCACATGGTCTTAGATTATTAGGCATTTAGGTGTAGCAAAATGGCGACTACTCTCCGGTTGCATATAAGCCTACCAAACATTACTAATGACCATTGGAAATCGAAAGCTCTCATTGGCTGTATTGCCTTCGTAATAACATTATAAAATTATGAATCTTCAATGTTTTCAAATTATTATTATTTTGATTTATTTAGTAAAATATGATATTTCATCCAGCATCATATAAATATGAAAATGTTAATATTATTTCTATATGCGATGTAAAATCTATGGAAGACGTCAATGTGTAGTTATTTGCGTACCTATTTTACATTGCATTTATTAAATAATAAGCTATTTTTGCCATATCTTAAGTAGAATAATTTTAACATTTTTAGAAAAAAGTTTGTTTTTCATCACAGTAGATTTCAGAAGTGTATCAGCAAACCAAAATGGTTCATCTACAAATGCTGAATGTCCAAATTATGCATTTTTTTTTTCTCTAATGTTTAAATTCTATATTATTTCTATTTAATTTATTAAGACATAAGGATTAAGATACCTATATAATAAATAGTTTATTATTTATTAGACACGTTGATGTTTTCCATAGATTTTGCAATAAAGTCACTTTTAAAAATTTCATATTTAAATGATGTTGTATAAATCATATTTTATCAACTGAACAAATAAAATGTCAAAAAAAATAAAATAATTTTATAATGTTATTACACATGCATTACAGCTAATGATACCTCTCGATTTCCAATTGATCACTAGCAATGTATGGTATACTTATAAATTATAATAATATTATACCCCCCGGATGTGGAGCCCGCTCTAGTTGCGCTATCTAGCGGTCAAGTGCCATAATATGTTTTATCTATATTTACGATTTAAGATATATATATCTTATACCGTCTCCTAACTTAACCGTATTTATCTATGTGTCTGTATAAATAATACATTATTAAGATACAAATGACTACTACATAGACGACTGGAATAAGAGCACTACTAACTGGTTTGTGTAAATTGGTTGATGGGTTGCATAATCCTTGCCATGTAAAATGTTATCATTAGTTTTTATCCGGGCCTAGTTAATAATGTTAACATGCCGTATTATCGTATCTTGAATCTTCATTTGTTGAATTTAAGCTGTGGCCTAACCAAATTACCTATCATTCAAATTCATTAAGTAAAATAATGTACAATTATTTTAATTTCTCATTATATAACTTAATTACAAATTACAATGCCAAGAAAATGTGTTGTGTGTAATAAATTGTATACTTCAGGTTCAGATGATTCATTTCATTCGTAAGTATATTATAATTTAAAAAATAAACAGGCTGAACACATATTTACAAACGATATAATAAATTTACAGTTTTCAGAAGATAAAAAAAAGATAAATTCATTTTAATAGAAAAAACAGGTTCATTATGAGGTTTAATAATAGAAATATATAATACAAATTAAGATTTAAATTTAAGTCATATTTAATTTATGTAGGTACTTACAATGGTCTACAGTTGAGATGTTGCATACAAGAAAATATAACTAGATATTTTGTTGCTACAATTGGCAAAAAAACAATTAGATATGAATTTTTATCTTCTTGAAGATTTTAAATCTTATTTAGCATGTTTGTGTAGGATTATAATAACATATAAATGGATAGATCATATTACACTTTGCTTTTTAACAATTTAATATATTATATTTACATAACACATTATAATTCTAACCTAAGGGTCCTTGTTAAGTTGGACCATTTTGGTGTTAATAGTAGACCATGGAGGTAACTCATTCACTATATTTTAAGCCTGTCTAATGGAATAAACTTTAATTAGTAGTAAATTCACTATCAATGAAGACATCGTTGGGGTTCATGCCCACTTCAAAAATTGGTACCCTAGAATTGTTGGTTATGATATTTGGAGTAGTAATCTTTTCAGTCTAATTCATAAATGTTTCATTGTGGAAACCATATACTGGTTTGTTTTACACATTTTTTGTATCCATATGGGTTATTGTCTCTGGAGAAACTTTTTCATGAAATAAATAATGTTAATCTATTTCACTTGTTACAAGTTATAAATTTTCTTATACAGTCTATGTGGTCTAATGAAATGAGAGAGCTATCGGTGGATTGATAAATCCTAGTTAATTGATTGTCAGATTGGCTAGAAATATATCAAATAAATATAGACAAATGTTGTAATATATTTAATATATATACATATTAAGTATTTACATTGAGTGATGTTTTTATATTTTTAAATTCAATATTATATAGCTGATAGTATAATGTGATAATATTACCAAAAAAAAGCATGCAAATTATACATTTTTGCTAATTACTTATAGGGTGGCAGAGCTATTAATTTGCAAACCCAATACAAATAGCAGAGTAGCAGTTTCTAGTATTCCTACCTCTTGCTACCCCATAATAACGTGTATGATGGTAAATCTTTATTATACTATATGTAATTTTTATTTTTAATTTGAAAAATCAGATACTATGTTGTATACAAATTCTACTGTAATGTCACTAGAAATAATCTAATAATACTCCTTACCTTACTGGATAATTATATTATTAAATTTGAATTACATGTTTGATGTTTAATCTATTTCAGCTTTCCTAAAGATGAAGTACGTAAAAAATTGTGGTTAAATGCTTGTAAAATGAGGTTGCACTTGCCATCACACAAAATATGCAAGGATCATTTTTTGCCAGAACACTATCTTCCAAGTGGGTATCTAAAAAGTAATGCTATTCCATTCATAGAAACTGCAAGTAAAGGTTATTATCAATTTATTATATTTTATTATGTATATTAAACTCGTTTATTGAATTTGCATACTTTTATACCACTCCATACAGTCTAAATTGTTTGTTAAAGTATGTCCTAGATTCTTCAATCCATAATTCCCTGTTATTTCATTCCACAACGCTACCGAATCCATTCATTGTTCTGATTTTGGGAGAGGGTTTTCAAAAAAAAAGCCAAAAATATTTCAACCAACCCTATTTTAGCTAAAACTACTGGTTATCAACTTGTAAATTTCTTATTATATCATTTATGTTTTGTTAAAAGGGCCTGTACCACAAAAAATTGAAAAATACATTTTTTGGTATCAAAAAAATCAGTAAAGTTAAGAGAATAAAGTGGTAAAAAAACATATTTAAATACAGAAAATTAAGTTGATAATATCAACTAAAAGATATCTAGATGTCCTTTTAAAATATAATTAAATGCCAAATTGTTAGAAGTACGTATATCATATTGATGCATGTATGCTTTGTGTACAAGATACATATACGAGTAATTTTATTGTTTTCCATGATAAACATCATTAAAAACTGTTTTGTTAGTTATTTGCAAAACAGTTTTTTTTTTGCTTTCTGAAAAAGAAGTGAAATTTGATAGACACCCTTTTAACAAAATACCATCGATATAGAAAAAATTTTCTTTAGAGAATGTTTTTTCACAGTTTTGAAAGACTATTAATGCATTTTTATTGCTAGTTTAAGATGTGAATAAGAAAACTTTGAACTTTGATGTCTTCAAATAAAAATTTCAAAATTGTATGTTATAATTCTGACAAATAAAATCACAATAGCCACAACCGGTTTCCACCTTATAATTATCTATAATGGTATTCATTATAACACATTAATTGTTTGGATTTTAGATTCGGAGTGTAGCAAGGGATCTATTGGTTTTACTATAAAGTGTATTTTTTTTTATTTTTCATGTTTGGACAACTTTTCTACCAGGGATTTTGCTTCAAAGTATAGAAAGCATCTTTTCTTAAACGTAATATTCTCTAGTTATCAAATTTATATTTGATATTCATTCATAGATAAATTGTTAGACCCAACAAAAATTCTTGAAAATTTGATAGGATATTCATTATAAGTCAAATAGTGGATCAATAAAAAAACGGCATGCCACAGTGTTACCGTTTTCATTGTGTTATACTTTAGTTTTCTACCAGTAAAAAAAAGAGCTGATATGGGAGTGGGAGTGGCTACTGTTGTAGGTGAGAATTTGGGAAGGTTGGATACATAAGGTTATTATATTTATATCTGTAAGCAACGATAAATTGCTTGACTAAAGGCGATTCCAAGCGCAGTTCGGTAATACATAAATTGAAGTGCTGGTTTTTTGCAATTTTTGTTTAAATTTGATTTCAAAACTCTTAATAAAAAAAAAAGTTGTCCGATCATTTTGGAAATTTTACCATAACTAGGTAAGTTCAATATAAGTATTATAACCAAGTTTCAAGTCTCTACGTGTATTTATGACCGAATTACAGCAAACAAATTCCCAAACATTAAAATTCCTTAAAAGCTCAAAAGTTTTGGCGATGATTCCGTAAGAAAGTAAATCAAAAAGGTAACAAAAAAAGTATCTTGATTTTTCGATTAAATCATTTTTTCTGGTAGAAAACGTCGTCCTCCTTTTTATAAAATAATGAAATTGTGAAATTGTACGTTTTCCTACGTTTTTCCCACTTAATTGCTTTTAATTTAAAAAAAATGGCGTCGAAAATCAAAAATTGATCTCTCTAAAGTACAATTTAGACAACTTGAGCTTATTCTTCGAAGCATGTTTACAAAGCAAAAATTAAAAAACCTTGGTAAAAAGAATAGTTCCTTTTGAATCTAAAATGACAAGAAATCAATTTTGTTCATTTTAATACTGCCATTGACACAGAAAATCATTTTGTTGATATCTTAAGTATTTTCCATAAGAATTGGGAAAAATCAAAAATTACGAATTATTTATTTTATTTTTTTCAAATCGCTGCATAATTTCATTATTTTAAATGTATGACTACTATTCTATCATAAATATCGCTCTACTAAAAAAACATCAAGAGATTTTTTTGTTTAATTTTTAATCTAGTTGGTGACTAAGAAAGTCGTTTTTTGATTTTCTTTTGTATTTTTTTTTTTAAATAATTTAGTAAAACCGTAAAATATTTATAAAAAAAAAAAAATGGGAAAATTGAAGACTATAATTCTTTTATTGTTTTCAATTTTGTTTTTTGTAATATAATTCAATTAAAATTTTACGTTGAAACTTGAAATACTTGAGCTACTATTTATAGACATTTTATTTTGGCTAGTTGTTTACATAATTTCTATTTGGTAGGTATTCTGTAGATAAATTATTAAACTTGCCATAAATGCTTGAACATTTGATAGCAGATTCATTACAAGTTGTACTTAGTGGTCAAAAAAAATTAGTTTAATGTAGAAGCTTGATTTTAAATTTTATAAAAAAAATTCTACATTAAACTATTTTTTTTTTTATTTATAAGAGTTAAAATCAAATTTTAATGAAAATCTTAAATATTATGGTCTTTTAGAACATGTATATGGTATGACCGTACTTCGCTCTGAATCGTTTTTCATTATTAATGTGTAATATTGGTTACAGATATAAATTATATAACTTCATGTATTCCACCTTCCCTTTTCCTTACACATCTACAATAGTGGCCGCACTCGTCCCCAGTATCATCTCTTTTTACTGTTGGCTGTAATATTTTCAGAAAAATAAATATTGGATAAAATACTGTTAAGTAAAAATAATTTTCCTCCAATTTATAATTTGACTGATTTATTTTAGGTTTTTTACATACTCATGTTCTATCTATACTGTAAAAACTAACAGATTATTGACAAAATAAGCAAAGTTAAAAAACAAATAAAATTATATTTTAGATACTGAATCTTCAAACTCAACAAGTCCTGCAACAAACTTGGGTGTAAAGCCTATAGTTTCTACAGATACAACAGGTATTTATCAATATATTTTTTATTCAACATTATTTACAAACATATTATAGCAGTAACATTTTGTAAATTAAAACAAATTACTAAATTTTAGGTATTGAACCAGCAGACCATACTTACTATCGTACTTCCAGCCCTTGTAAAAATGCTATAGAAACCTTATGTATAGAATCTATAGCTTCTACAACTACAAGTATGTATTAACAATTTAATTTATTTTTAACATCTTGGTTAAATTGTATAAACTAAATTATTCAATTGTAGACATTGAACCTTTAGACCTTTGTGATAATCCAAGTCCAATTATTCAAAAGCGCAGACGCAAAATAAATGCCAACACAATAGGAGAATTATCACCAAGTCATTTTAGTTCGCCGGAAAACATAAAGAAACATTTAGACTTGGTGAAGTCCAAATTTAAGGAAAAACAAGTTGAAAATGCAAATCTTAAAAAACTTATTAAGAGACTTAAAAAAAAACTCACTGCTTATGAAAGTGTTATTAGGTAATTTTAGTAAAAATATTTTTATTTGGAAAATGCATCTGTTTACTTATGGAATTATTTTTGATATTACATTAGCATATTTTTGGATTTTTAATTTTCCTCTAAGACGTTCACTTAAGAATATAAATAAATAGCTCACATACGTTTAAAATACATCAACTTTAATATTTTATAGATATTGATATTTTCTCAAAATATTATGTCTAACCTTTATATATATATATATATATATATAAATTTAATTATTCTAATTATTTCAATACTGAGATTTGTAAAATATTTTTTTAAATTAACTGTTTCAAATATATATGATGATAATGATGATTGTGATTATTATTAAATTTTAGTTTTGAATATAAAGTATTTATTTTTTAAATGTTAATTATATTTCAATTATTTATTTTAATTTAGGTTTTTTTAGTGGTTTGTCCAATAAAACGCCCAGTGAAATTAAAATGTCATATAAAGTGTATGAAATACTCATACAAGTGGCTGGTGTCTATAGATAAATTTTAGATTCTGAGTGGAACAAAGAAGCTTATAGTTTTAAAAAATAGTCTTTAGGGTGGTAATTTTTTTATTTTCTTAAGAATTTTCCCAGCAAATCTTAAAAACTGGGAAAAACATAGGAAAATTGTAACAATATTAAACAAATATTATTAATGAAAATATATGCCTATTTAATTATTTGACAATAACATGTCATATATATATATTTTATTTTCGTTATTAGCTTATCATTGCTTATAGGTATATATTGAATTACCTATAACGGTGACTGCAACCATCCCATTAAACCAAAAAAAACAGCTTTTTTTTTTTTACTTATCCTTAGCTTCAAAATATGAGAAATATTAATATCAAACTGTGTACCTAAAATGAATTTTAATATTATATTGGGTAATAAACTATGATATTAGTTTTGTGTACATATGCCATTAGTAAAGCTTTTCAACAAAAAATTAAATCGCTAAAGTATAAACTTTAACTATGAGCATACCAACTTGATCAATTTAACCTTACATTGTTATACAATAATTAAGTAATATATTTAGAATAATGTATAATACAATTTTGATTAAATTTTGTTAAATTTTCTGATACAAGTAATTGAATATTACATATTAGACTCTGTGTGGTACAATATCATAAAACATTCAAATTTTCTTATTTATACATTTTTTACATATTTCATTTAGAATACAGAGCTTCTTGCAAAATGGAATTAAATTATTCCTAGAAAAGACAAAATTCTCTCACACAAAGTGGTCAAATATCATGTGTGTAAATTTCATTTTGAAAAGAATGATGATCTATTTTTTGACGAGATTACTGTATTTGATGGAACAGTCAAAATTAAAAGAATTATACTTATATTAAGAGGAGCAGTTCCATGTATATTTCCCAATCTACTATTTTTTTTAATAATAAATCTTATTTAATTAAAAAAGCCAAAGACAATCCTAACTAAATTACGAAAAATGACCGATTACAACATTATCGATTTTGTAGTTTTAAAATGCACATGATGTTTTCCATCAGAAAATTATTTTAATCACAAAAAGTCCGAAAAATCTTTTTTGTTCCTTAAAATATTTAGCCACAGAGAATGGAAGTTGTTTATTGATACCAAATGTAGTTTTAATTTGAAAATAAATGAAATATGTACATAACCCTCATTAAATCAAATATAATGTAAAAGCATGACAAAATAAAACAGTACTCTAATCGAATGACGCGCTTCTGGTGGCAGAAAAATCATACACTTTGTCGTCTCATTTTTTTAAGAGTTTGTTTCCTTATCTCTAAACTTCATTTATGACAGAAATACAATTTTTATCAGATCACATTGATTAACTCTTAAACCATTACCATAATAATAAGTTATTATATATGTATTTTATGTACAATACATTTTGGTGAACTTAGAATAACAATAAAAGTATAAATAAACTGAATATAAGACATACCTTTGAAATCAAAATTATTAGATATAGAGAATTGATAAATAACAGTTCTCAGAATCGAGTTGTATAGATAGGTATCAACAATAATAACGATATTAAGTGGTAGAGGCTGACACACAAACCAATATTAAATTATTATTTGAATTAATTTACATTTTTTTTTGATTTGTATGAGATATTTTTTTTCTTATCATTATGAAAAGAACTGCTTTTGACCCGTATGACTACAGCATTACGAACTGCGAAACATATCGCAGTGATATAGCCCGCCTTGACACTAGGTGTGCTAATTTTACAATAATACACTAATGCAAATTATCGTATGCTTACTGTACACGTCACAAGTTTTACTAGCTCTTGAATTATTGTGTATTATTTGTAATTATTGTAATTTGTATTTTGTGCTATTAGGTGAGTCGTAGGTACTAGTTATATTATATTGGGGCATCGGGCAGTCAATTAAACTTGAATATTCAGAGTATAGGAAATAGCTTATTTTTATTTTGTTTATATGGATTGCACGATAATTTAGTCACTCAGCCACCGAAAAACGCTCTCTATCCTTTCACGCTCAGTGTGTAATTAATTCGTGTCTTGGTATAAGGTCTGTGGTAGATACTATTCTCGATTTTTTTTAAATCAGTTGGTGCCAACTGCCAATATTACCGAAAGAAAACTATTTGGATTGTCGAGTAGTTCATTCTATTAATAATATCTAATCAGTTGAAAAAGTTCTCGGTTGTTTTTTAAACCAGTCGATGTTTATGCTACCGAAAGAAAACTATAGGACTATTGTCTATTGAGTTATTCTTTCTATTGATAATACCTATCTACTTGAAAAAGTACTTGATTGTTTTTAAACTATGGTATTCAAAAACATTTTGTTGTTTTTTAAACTATAGATAATTAAAACCAGTCGGTGCTACTCATAGATATATAAAATAACTAGATAGCAAACTCTGTATGCTGGCTTGACAACAATTTGAAGTCGTTAATCATTTAAAGGTGGGGCAATTGTGATTTCAAAATAGGATATAATCGACATTGATATAAGTATTATACATTTTTATATCGATTCGATGTTTATTATCATGATTGCAATTTTACTATATTTCAATCAATGTAAATACAATAAATTAATAAACGTACTTACAATATTGTTTGTACAATTTTGTTGGAATTGGACTACACTGAGTCGTGGGTTAACCAAACTTCAAATGGTTCACCTGTAGGTTGTGGTAGTTTTGATGTCAATTTCATGGAAGAAACAAACGAGTTGCGTGAAGTTGCTTTGCTCCCTCTTCTGGCAGCGTCGGCGTCTCATTACGTCACCGACGCACACACGCACGTAGTTTAGTGATGTAAATACTGTTCGTCACACATACACAAACGTCAAACGCCCGTATATACAATATACACACACATACACATTGGATCTAGTCATTTCGTATACTTTCCGAAAATCTTTTCGCTGCGTCTCCAATCTCCATTATTCATCGTCGCCACAGTTTCATTTGTACTCGTTTTACGATTCCCTCTCTGTTGTTTTGACTCCGCCATTTGGTAAGTTATCTTATTACCTTCGATTATTGTATATCTGTACTCCAAACGTAAAACCAGCCGATATATCGCCGCCATTCGTCGTTTCCGTAGCAATACCGTCGCCATCGCATTCTTTCGCAGCTTGTCCAATCCGTATGACGTGGTGGTGCCCGGTGTAGAACACACGACCACAACAGAATAACTACAAAAATATTTGACCTCATAACCGTGTAAACGAGAAATGCGAGATTTTGACCACAAACGGGGCAGACAATTGGTTGACTGTACCACTGAAGACGACACTGTTACTGAAGACTCAGCCGGTTTGTATTGCGCGCGCTGTTTTACTGTAGGTACCTTAGTATATACACATTTCACTGAACTCCCGCGTATTCTCCGAAAAAAATATGGCTAGTTTTTATTATTAATGTATTCGTATCTCTCATATTAGTCTTTATTTGCTTTCCTTAAAATGTGTGTTGGTTAATCATTTAATCCAGCCATAAATAATTTGATTTATGAATCCAACCAATCCAAACATTATTGACTTGTTTTTTCTCCATGTGCATTTAATCTTCAGCGATTATATAATATAATCACTCACTGTCAAAAATAACATTTTAATAAGATAAATGTATATTCTCGTACACTACTAACTCCATTTTAAGTCTATTTAATATGTATTATATTTAGATACGCAGGTATCTAAGGCTGAGTATATACCAAACAAGCAAAATTGTTTTGAAACTACTAAAATAGAACTATCCAGTTATATTTTTGCTTTGCATAATTATCTAATATAATTGATGTTAATTTATGTTTTAAACTGCAATAACATCAAATAAAAAAATATATTTGTTCAATATTGTAATTTGTGACTAAATGGAAAGATTTTAAATTGTATAAAAACATAAATGTTTTGTTTTGTCTGTTGCATCAGTTTTTGAGTTTTCGAATAATTTAATAAATACATCTATTTAAAATTAGGTCTTTTTGTCCATTATATCAAATACTCTATACCTATTCATATGGCGTAAAAGTTTGATGGTCTTTGTTGAGTGTTCAAATATTATGAAACTGTTGGTCATGTGATACAGCTATTAATTTAACCAATGTATTCTTAGGTATCTTCCTAACCAATAGTAAGAATAATATTTGAAAATTGTATTTTATTTATGCATCTTTATTTGTATATATTTTATAATGAATTTGCTGTAGGTATAGATACCTACTAGACCTACTAGAGCCCTGCAAAGGTTTCAAAATTATAGATTCTATATCCAATTTTATAAATTCGGCTTAATTTAATCTACTTTAGTGAAATATTTTGGACATAAGTCTAGTTTAGAGCCTACGCTCTTTTTAGACAATTTTATTTTTTAAGTATGTGATTTTACGTGTGCATTAAAAGTATAAAAAAAAAATCAAGGTGAACAAACTTTGTTTTGAAGTTATGAGGGAAAACTTCATAAAGTTCGGATTTTCTGTTTTGTGTTTCTTATTAAAATTTAAAATTTTCAAATTTTTTTTTCAAAATATGTGTTTTTAATGCTTAATTCATTAGTATAATCAAAACTAACCTTTTATACTTTTATAGTTTTTGTACATAAAACTTAGTAGCATTTTTGAAATTCATCCAAAATGTGGTTGAAAATTGACATTATTTTATTGTTATTATTTGTATTTATTAAGATTTTGATAACAAAGTTTTTTTTTTATTGAAGTTAGAATAAGGCTATCTGGCTTAGTTTTAGAGTTACAAACATTCAAACATTAAGTGTTACGCTGCACTCACTCAGACAATTTTAATTGAAAATAACAATCAATTTTTCATTTTGCCTTGTTACGTACCCGACATGGTTTTGCACAACAAATCGAGGGTTATTTTCGATTAAAATTGTTTGAGTGAATGCAGTGTAACGCTTAGTGTTTAAACGTTTGTAACACTACAACTGAGCCAGATAGCCTTATTTTGACTTCAATAGAAAACTGTTATCAAAATCTCAATAATTACAAATAATAATAAAAAAAAAGTCTCTAAGTTTGGATGAATCCAAAAATTTTATTTTTCACGGTTAGGTTAGTATGATAGGTAAGTTTTGATTATACCAATGGATTAAGCTTTAAAAAACATACATTTTTGAAGAAAAAAAAATTGCATGGGCGCCAAACTAGATTTGCTCCATATTCCGCTCGACCAGTCCAATTTAGTCAAATATTTAATCTAGTTAACTTAGTAAAATATTTATTACTTATATTTTATATTTGTTTTCTCTTTTTGTTTAACAAGATTTTTGAATTTGATTATATGATATTTCAGTATAATTTGGTATAATTGTTGTTATTATTTGAACTAACCGCTCAAATCCTGTAAATAGTAATAAAAATAGAATCTTGTTTCAATCTGTTTGTGAAGTTATGACCAGCAATGTCATATAATTTGTCTATAATATTGTCAAATATAGCAACTTTATGATAATGAAACTACCTAATACCTATTTTCTATTAAATTTGAATGTAATACATATACATTCTGTAATCAATTTATTTCAATATTTTAAGTGGGGATGTGCCTGTGTGCCCCATAGAACGGATGGCTCGGTCCTAATAATATATAATACCTAGCTCAGGCAGGCCCAGCCCATCTACTGCCAACTGCTTAGCTTGTTGCGTGCAGAGCTCTAGTACCTACATACTTGTTTTTCCCTTTCAGGATAGATAATGGTAAATTGTTTTTCAAAAACCACATTGATTTTGAATTTATTTATATCTACTAGTTAAATTTTAAATATTTTAAATTAAGTATGCCTAGAATATATAGTGTAATATATTTTAGTTATCTATATAGTTCTAAATACCCAGTAGTTATTTTGTTCATTTTAATGGCTGTGTCTCCATCATTGGGTGCTTGAGTAGACTATTAGGAATATGGTGCCTAGTGTCACCATTACTATAAATTCAGCTGTGGAATAAATTTTTTAGAGCACTGGGTAATTACCACTCAATTTTCTTCAATAGTTAATGTAGAAATATTTAAATACCTTTGAAATAATTCAACACAACAATTTTTAAGTTTATTTCTAATTTATTTATCTTCAAAAATATTTCTGTAACTTAAATTAAAACAAAGTGATATGAAGGTGCTCGATGTTCTTAGTTCAAAACTTGTCTGTTGGCTGGAGTTCTTTTATATTATCCTTCTATTTTCTAGGCTCAGCTTATTTTTAATAATTTACGTAGCCTTGTATAGAAATTAAAAATAAGGAGATACGGTCACAACCCCTTATTCGTCATAATTATTTTCTTGGAATAGTTATATTATCAAAATGTAGCTTTAGGCAATATTCAGGTTATAGCTCTTAGTCTGGTTTAACAGGTTAAATACCTACTGGTTAATTTAACCTTTTTAACTTATACTAATATAACTTTTTAACACTAATTATTTATTTAATATTTATTTGTTTTATAAGCAACCATAGTGATAGAATCAAACTCAACAACAACCACGGTAATAATATAATACCCATGATAATACATTATTCTAAGACAATAATAATATATATCCATAGGAAAATTAGTTGACCGGGCGCCCAGTTCGCTATTATCCACCCAAGCGCCCGGTGACGGAGACAAAGCCAATTTGAACTTATGTTTATATTAAAAATTAATTTGTGAAACACAATTTATACTTTTAGTAAAAGAAAAAATGCCGTCCGATACTGAAAGTAACACAAGCTTTAACAACAGCAGTGTACGGACTTTTAAGATTTTCATTGGAAATCTTTCTGAAAAAACCACAGCTAATGATATTAGACCACTATTTGAGAAATATGGAAAAGTTGTTGAATGCGATGTTATGAAAAATTTTGGGTTTGTTGTAAGTATTTGTAAATAATATAGCTTTAAACTTTGTATTGTAATTTTTTAAATTTTTTTAAAAAATCAAATTTTCTTTTCTTTTGTGCATACTATTATGTTTACATTAAACATTTTATTATTATATTTTTATCTTACATATGTAACAATTTGAAATAGTCATCATCTTTATTATTTTTATATTTTAAAGAGATGAATGTATTATACATTTTTTATTCACATCTAAACTCTTGTATAACCATTTCTAGCATATGGACGATGATAATACTGGGCGTGCAGCTATTAAAGCTTTGAATGGTTCTATGGTTAATGAATTGGCTATGAAAGTTGAAGCTGCCACAAGTCGCCGTGGTCCTAATACTCCAACTACAAAAATTTTTGTTGGTAATCTCTCTGAAACAACAAAAGCCAATGAAGTACGCGAATTATTTGCTAGGTACGGAACTGTTGTAGAATGTGATATTGTGAGGACTTATGGTTTTGTGGTAAGTCATTTCCATTTTAAATAATAAGTATTTTTTTTTAATTTCAAATTAATTATTAAGTAGTAGGCCTAATGTATGCAATTTAATGTAATAATTATTGAAGAATCATTTTTGATGACAAGTATTTAACAGGTTATTTAAACATTTAATTTGGCTGGTTCTCTGTACAATTTTGACTACTTTATACCAGGGATTGTTTATAATTATAAATTCATAATTATCCAAGACAATATTAAAAAAAAATCTGATAATTATTTCTAAAAGTAAACAAAATTACCCAAAATTAAATTAGACAGTTATTAGTTCTTAACAATACCTACTTTAACACCTTATGCATTTTTTGTTTTTTCTTTAAATCGATTAATAACAAGATTAATAATTAATAATTGATAATTACTGATACCTGCTTTATACCTTTTAATCATTATTTAAAAAAATGCTTTAATAATGTCTTCTCAATTATTAAATAATATATTTTTTATTATCAGATAAAATCTCGTTTTTTTTTTTTTAAATTGTTTTATCAACAATAATATTGCATTTCAAATTGTAGTCTTTAGGTCATGGTTATACATATATTAGGCTTACTCCATTAATTTATTGATGATTACTAATATTATTAAGTATTCTGTTTATTTTCTTATTATTTTAAAATATTAACAATATTTGGTGTTTGACCAAATACTAATTAAGTGTGATAATATTTCATAAGTAAAACTTTAGATGAAGATGATCTTGAGTATTTTGGTACACAAGTGTGTTTACTTGTCAAAATAAATAAATGGTAAATTTTTACTTTGCCTTGTTATTCAAATAACAAATTGATCTATTATTTTATAACTTTACAATATTAAATGAATTGGGTTTTTAATTATCTACTTAAATCATAGGCAATAAGATTTTAACAAATATTTGTCCATTCTGCACCATTTCATAATATAATCTATGACAAATCCGCATTTACCTTATAGGCTTATAGGTCACTTATAAGCTAGATTTATTGTACCTGGTATGACAGCTGACAACCAAATAAATATTGTAACATTCCTAGTTAAAATGCTAAAAGTTACTACTAAAATATTGAATATTAATTTTATTTATGTAAATATAATGTATTTATTTTAATTTTAGCATATTGATTCAACTGATGTAAGCAGACTTATTAAAGATTTAAATGGACATATGTTAGATGGTCAACCAATCAAGGTGCAAATTTCAAATAGCCGTGTTCGTCAAAGACCTGGAATGGGCATGCCAGAACAGTGTTATAGGTGAATATATTTATTATTATGTTTTATCTTATTGTGTAGTTTAAAGAAAATGTGTTTAGAAGTAATTTGCTAGTCACATATTTTGTTTGATTTTGTTAAATAAAAATGAAATGAACTTTCATAAAAATAAAATGGGAATTTTATTCAGGTGCGGCAAGGGTGGCCATTGGTCTCGGGAGTGCAGTCGTGAAGGGTGAGCCTTACAACTTATTTCGCACATTGTTCTTTAACTTATTGTCATCATAACGGAATATAGAATTTGTATTTAATATATTATTTTTGTCATTTTTAGATATGGTGGTTATGGAAGAGATGCTCTACCACCCCTTCCACCACCTCGAGCCCTTCTTTATCCACCACCACCACCACCATCTTTTGTTCGCGATCGTATTCTTGGTTCTTATGGTACTGGTTTGAAAACTGATTTAACAAGAGTAAGTAGTATTTATTATATATCTAACTATAAGGTTTGGCTTTTAAAGAAAACTAGTGCTAGTGTAGAAATGTTCTTGAGTGGCCAGTGGTTCTTAGTATTGCACTGATAAAAAGAATTCTGTATGTGTTAAAAATTATAATCTAAACTATATTATGAGAAATTACTAATGAATAACAATACTTATAATTTTATTTTAGAATAACAGTTCACATAATTATTAAAAATGTATTACAAATGCATCTATGGAACATAAGGTGGTTAATTTTATAATGGCCTTTCTATGACTTAATTTTTAACATTTTTTGAAATAATTCAAACAATTTTATTTACTGGTATGCATGATGTAATTATTTCAGATGGATGATTATTCAATGTTGTCACATTCTGAACTTGGTGGTCACATGTATGAAGTAAGTGTTGGAAAGTTAATTTTAAACAATATTTTACAATTTATGGTATACACATTTTTATTTTTAGACTGAGGGTTTGTATGATCGTTACTATGATCGTAGTCTTATGCGAACAGCTGCTGATGGTTATGGTATGGAAAGAAGAATGCCAAGAATGCCATCTAGCCGTGATTACTTATCTTCATCTACACGTATTGGTACTACAATGCGTGACCCTGATTATGTATTTACACGTCGTTCACCATTGTCTACCAGTCGTGCATCGTAAGTATTAAATCAAATTGTGTGTATAGAAAATATATATTTTCTTTTTTATAAAAATCAATTTCTTTAATAGTTCAACTCATGCATATGATGATTTCTCTAGGGATTCATATGATGAACGCCGGTAAGTAACAACTTTTGTAATTTAATTTGCTACTAGTCATAAAAGCTTTATTAATCGTTATAAATAAATTATTATAAATTAGTTAAAATTATCAGGGTTGTAACATATAGTATTATAATAAATAGTATTATGTACTATAAATTTAAAAGTAAATGGCATTGTAAACCAAAAAAATACAATCTTATATAATATAGTTACTAATTATATTGTTTATGAATTCAATTTTTATTTTTATTATTTTTAAAACTTTAATACCAAAATAAAAATGAACTAACTTTTAGTCATAACTCATTTAATTTAAGAACTAACAGTTGTTTTAAATTTTTTATTAGAATTGATTAGACTAATCTTTTGGAGTCACTGATAGATAGTACCTATGTAGGTCCAAAAATATTTTTAATAAAAAGTTCAAATTATATATTATATATTTATATTTTATGTATAACATATACTATTATATGAATAACTTATAAAATATAGATACATATATATTGACAACCCTGAAAATGATAAATTTAGATTTTTTTTCCAAATGAACGAATAAACTTGTGTTGTTAATTTAATTTAAATTTAATGAATTGATATTTCTTTGATATTACTTTTCCAGGAAAATTAATTCCCTTAAATAATATGTTTATACTCTATTCGGAATAAAAACAGTAGTCAGTGGCCGAGTTGTGCGCTTGGGCGTGACTTTATCTATGCCTACGGAGCGCTGGCTTTACCATCCCAGTGAGCGAGTATAATAAGAATGGGCGTGGTTATGACCTTTGGCAATGAAAACTCGTTGCCACCAACTACTGTTACTATTCCAAATAGATTATAGATTTATTTTTTAAACAACATTTATTTGTTCATAAGGTTATGTCTACCCATTACATAATTTGCATGCAATTATACTAACAAATTATAAGTTATAAGTGTTTATCATATTTTTAACTTAAAGGTGATATGAAATCCAAGTTTTTTATTTCCAGTTACTATATATTGTAGTTTTTATATTATATGTATAGATTGTGTTTCCATAAGAAGTTTTGAACCAGTTATTTTTAGTGGTTCAATAATCTGCAAAATACACACTAAAATTCTCTATCACACAATAGTTTAAATTGTCTTCATTAGAGATATCAATGGTTAAAATCTATCATTGGAAACTACACAATCAAATTGTATTTATTCGGAGTGTTTTTTTTTACTATATTACATCATGAATATATATGTTCATGCATTGATGTGTTTAAAGGTAAAATAAAAAATGTCATTCTTACTTGGTTGATTACAAAGGTTCAATAAGCATTTTATTATTTTTATTATTGCATTTGTAAATTTATTTAAGTAATAGTTCAAAATTAAAGTTATAAAGCTTGTTCCTTAAATTTTATAGTTTTTCGCGATTTTAAGAGATTAACTAAATTATTTGGAAAATTTACAGCTAAAATGTATTGATTGAGTATTTTTAATGTCTATATATTGTTTGAAATAATAAAAACAAAATCCACATTTTTATATCCCTTGCACTAATAATAATAGTACTTATTTATAATATAACTTATATACTTTAAAATTTGATTTTTATATTTAAATAAATAAAAGTTGTTTTGTTAAAGACATTTTAAAAAATCAATTTTTATTCTAATGATTCATAATAAAAATAAGCATGAAATTAATTAATATTTTACTTGCAAAAAAAAAAAATTAACAATTTGGATTTTGTATTATTAATATATATGTTCAATTTTGCATGTTTTTTATACCTTAAATTATTATATTTTTTTTACGTGTGTATGTTTAAGTATGTATAAATATCAATGTATTTGGTTAATCCCCGATTATGTTTTTCTTTTTCCGTCAGAGTTTCGGGATCTCGCGGTTCGTCGCGTTACACGCCGTATTAAAAAAAAACCGTGTAAATATTATCGTGCCGCCGCCGTATATTCGCGTCGCCGGATCGGATAAACGTACACTCACACATGGCCGATCGTCAACAATTTTTTATTTAAATCGACCCAAGTTTTTAAGGAGCCAAAATTACATTTACAATTTACAAAATCTTTTATAAGATTATTTGTCTACATAGGTTTTTTTTTTAGGTTTAAACAAATTTTATTTCTTAGTGTCACAAATTACAATTTTTTTTTTTATACATATATATTTATATATAATTAAACTTAGGCATTAGACATAACAGATTAACTTTATCTGGGCTCTTAAGATTATTATTTTTGATTCATACTTTTTACCTTAGTTGTAAAAATTAAATAATTTTCTAGAATTATATGATTCAAACACTATGTTTGTTTCTATTATTTCAATCATATAATATTAAAACAAATTTCTGAAATTTCTTTTTGTCGAGTTATTAAACAAAATTTTCCTTAAAAACATAGCGTATAGTGTTAACCTTTGTAGTTAAAGGTTTTTACAGCTAGGTTAATGTATTTATTAAACTTACTAAAAATATGAATATTAATAATTGTAAGCCCAAATAATCTTATGACAACAATACTTTGTAATTCTCATTGTAATAAATAAATTATAATAAAATAAAAATAAGTAAAATAAATACTATCTAATTTTGTAGTCCCTTTATACTTTTATATACTACCTAGTTAAGTGTTTTTTTAGTTACAAATCGTTACAGCCGACCGATCTCGTAGTTCGCCGAAAACGTGATATATTCGTACACTGTTCTGTGCGTACAATGTTCCGAGGACTATTCGAACGAAGCCGATACGTTTGCGATTCGTGTAAAATACTCATTTTTAGGTAAACAAACATTCAATTCATTTAATTTGTTCGTCTGTGTGTGTTTCAAAATCATTGGATTGAAACAGGCCACTCATTTACTTAAAGAAAACTTAGTCGTCGTCGATAAAATGTGCTATGAATATTAAAGAAGAAATGGCCATTATCAATCTGCAATTAATGATTGTGATATCAGTCATATCAATCATATGTGGATGATATATGCTATTAATTATTCTGACATTGTTTTTTTTGTTTATTGAAGTTAAATTATTTATATTTGTTAGAATTAAAATTTGTGTTCCCCGTTAAAATATAAAAGTATAATATAACCTTAATTTAAGTGTTAATTATATAATTATTGTTATCTGTATGTTAATATTACTTTTTTATTGTGTTGTTTTTAAACAATTCTAAAAGCTTGGTTATTATGTTGCAGAGTGTTATTAACATGTGGCTGAATGGATAACACTATGAACACTGATCATACTACAAAAATTATTATATTTTTTAATGTGAATCATTGAAAACGTCTTCACTGATGTACTTGATATTTGCCATAATAGTGGTTTCTTTGTTTACTGGTTAGTTGTTTATAATTATTAATATTGGTAAAAGAATGTTTTGCCCTATCATAAGTGGACATTTTGTTATTAACAGTTGGACAATTTGTTTCCAGTACCATTTTAAACCATCAGTTAAAGTATAAATAACAAAACACTATAAAGTGTATACTTCTATTTATTGTTTAAAATTTACTATTATTAAAGTTTTTTATTTTTTAATTTAAATTAAATGGTGTCTTCTAATGTTATTTATTAGGACAAACCAAATTATAAAACTATTTTCAAATTTTTGTAGAAATCAACCATTATTTGGTAATTAATAATTTATTACATAACTTGCACTTCTAGTCATAGTCTTTTAATAAGTTTAGTTTTTTATATTATTATACCATTGACATCAATTGAATAATCAAAAAAACTATTCACTTTTTAATTACCAGTTTAACTTTGAATCACAATTCTATTGCAAATACCAAAACTGTTTAAATATTTTCCCGGCGCAAATGTCTGATAACAAATTTTTCTTATGGGGGCAAAACGTTCTTGATTTCATTAATATTATGTTATTTAATTAACATTATATTTTATTAATTTTTATTTTTTTATTAACAGCAAATGTACTCTTGTTTTCCACTTTTCTTTTCGTCTCAAATTCCATGTCTATTATTATATTTTTCCCCCTATACTTCTTATCAAGAAGCTTTTATGATTATGTCAATTATTTAAACTTTAGTAAACTTCTTATTTTTCAGTTTTTGTGATATTTCCTCATTAGTTAGCTGCTTTATCCAATTTATTTTTAGCATCACCACATTTCATATTTTGTTCATATTCATGCATTCTTTCTTTTTTTTCCATTGTTTATATTTTGTTTCTATTCAGTAGAATGTTTCAAACATGTTTTTATGTAAATTCTCTCTAATATCAGGTCACCTATATTTTATAATATAAGCAAAGTTTTTCTTTTTGTAGAATACACACTACCTCTTCTATTCTGCTTTTATTGTTTCTTATATGCAACCTTTATTACTTGTTCTTATAGTTCTAAGGTTCATTAACTTGCTACAGAATCCTTAGAGGTGAGAAGTTCTAGGACTTTTATGTTTTTTCGTGTTTTTATTTTATTTACATTTATGACATATACCCTAAAGTTTATTAATGAATTTATTTTTTTTTAAATCTCACATTTTAGAATAAAAAAAAGAAATTGTGAATTTAGTGTTATATTATAAATATTAAAACTTTTTATCGGAATATTTGAAAATCTAGAATTGATTTAACATATTAATTATACATAGTATGCGTCAATAATATCCAATAAAAGAAGTTGAAGAAGTACAAAAACACATTGGTTAATAATTAGTTAGCATTATAAAACAAATTTTTAAAATACATTCCTCGCTACATTCAGAATATAAAACAGCTGTATAATGTAACAATAATTTTATCATCATGTAAGAAGACAATTATGTTGGTATAAAACATTATTATTAATTTTTTTTTTTTTTTAACATATCGAGATTTAAGTTAATAAAGTTAAATCAATACAATGTTCACTGTTAATAATTATGTACAATAAATGAATTTACATAAATTTTGATTTTTGTACACATATTGATGGATATTATGGATTTGAATACAAATGTTAACAATTTTACCTTCTATAACTTCTCATCCCTAGTGATTATCAAAGATTATTTGTTATGGTAACATTGTATTCAGCAATAGCTAAATCTTTTGATTTTAATTTTGTTTATCATCATGCATAGTCAATATGAGAGTATTCTAAATATTTAAACCTTAACTATTTCGTCCTCTCCCATTCTCATACATTAATTCTATACTTATATTTCAGTACGATAAATGGTGTGTCAAATAAAAAAGATTACAACATATTATTTTTTTTTGGACATTTTATCTTAAACTTATTCATTGTTGCTCCAGCATTGATTGATACATTTGTTGTAGTGGTACATGGTTTTGTTAAAATATGTAATCACATACATGGAAATCAGGAAATCAAATATAGAAATAAAACTTCATAAATTACTTTTAATTACTGTGATTAATAAAAATGATTAATGAAAATCTACTAACACATAGATCTGTGCTCTAATCATTATTCTCTCTGAATTAACATAGTCAAATTTTGATTTCTCAACACTGGAATGTAAAAAAAAAAAATTTAATTCTATTGAATATGTCTATATATGTAAAAACAAAATACTTCTGTAAATGTTTGTTTTAAAATTTGGATTTTTGAGTTTATAGTTGTCAAAATGTTACTCTCCAAAGTTAATACCTATATAATGTAATAACAATTTATCATAGTTTATGTAAATAATTATAAATGTGGTGATTGCTTTGAGCTATTTAGTTTCCAAAGATACTTCAGGTTTATATTATTTAAATATATTGATTGTACTATACATACTAGTTTAAAGTGTTTAAAAAATGAAAAATATTGAATGATAAGTAATTACAAGAGATGAAAATTAATTTGCTTTGTTTTCTAGGGCTTCTGTCAGTACCACCATTCTTGTGATTGATAATGTTCTAAAACACCGTTTTTGAAAATTTATGTGTAAATATTTTTCATTTGCGAAAATACTGTATGCTGATTTTATTAACTTACAAGTGGATAATTGTTGGCTACCTTTCAAAACATTAATTGTACAATGACTTCATTGCTAATTAAGATCTTAAACTACAAATAATTTGTACATATTTGAATTAAATATTCATAATATATGTTTTTAATAATTAAAATATTATATATATATAATATATTTATTTATTTATTTATTTTATAGGATTAGATGATTTTTGTTAATATATTTCATTGAATAATAATAATAAAAAAAGCTGATACTGCTCATGGGAACACCATTGTAAGCAACAATAAAGCATTGCTAATGGAAAAATGATTCTGAACAACATGCTGTTATACATGTTTTGAAATGCCTTAATTTTTATGATTTTTATTAAAATTTGAACACTGACTATTTTATTAAATGTAATTACTACATTACATTCTACTTTTGTTTTTTTTTTTTCAATATATCACTTTTATAACTGTTAATTTATCAAGAATTTTTGATAAATCAAACAATGGCATGCATTTATTACCTATCAAATAAAAACATCGTAAAAAAACTCCTGTATCAAATGCCTATAAATATCTCTAATAATGTAATATGGTGTATTTAAAAAAAAAAATGCACGGCCTTTATATACTTACATTTAACAATTTTATTATAAAACTGCATTATATAGTATTTTAAAGATTATAGAGTACTTATTAATGTTTGAATAAAATTAAATATCTTAATTACAATAGATTACTTTGCATTTTATTTTTTTGAATACATAATATTAATAATAATTTGACTACAGATAATGGCTGATTCAGTTGTACAACTAATTAAATTACATGGCAAACAACTTCTATCAATGTAATTATAAAAAAAAAAAATTATTTTTTATATATTTACAACTTGGGTGTTTACAATTTCATCTAAATATTATACTGTAGATACTATACTAGATTAGTAAAATTGCCTGATTTAACCAGACCTAACCTACCTATGTTATATCGCAAATCTGATATAAAACCCATTTAAAGTCCTAATTGTTGGGAAAAAAAACTTTTTTAAAACCAATTTTGAAACGTAGTGATAAAAATAATATACCTACTTAACCATAATTTCAAAATTATCAGCTATACTTAGAAAGTTACAGAATTTATTTATAACTAAGAGTGAGAACTTATGGAAAGTTCATGTTTTTATCAGTCTTTTATTGATAGGCCCTAGGCGAATTAAAAATATATTCTGTAACCTACTAAGTTCATAGTCAAAATGTATTTATTTTTAATAAAATGTATGATGTATTCCATAAAATACTTCATTATAAAGTTTGTTGTTTCAATAATATAACCTAAAATGTAAAACAATTTTATTATTGTTATATTCGTAGTATTATTTTTTTCATTATCAAAAATAATACTTAAATTGAATTATAATAAAATATAAGTTAGGTTTCTCCTTTGCAACCGTAAAAACCAAAGTTGAGTTTAAATCGGTATGTTATAATATATTCGTTATTTTGTTTGTTCAATTGATTTGAAATACCTGAGGTACTTTTGAAAAAATATTTTTTCTACAGATGGCGACATTTTATTTTGTCAAAGTTAATAGTAGTAAAAGATTTACGTTAATTCTGGTTTCCCCGATTTGTTTAAGATATTCAGATGTTTTTTTTTTAATAATATGCATTTATTGATTATTAATTATCTATCAGTTCATTAGAAAGTATTTTTTTTTTTTTTTTTTATGCATATTTCTTTAATTATACCTCTTATGAAATTGTCATCCCTACTTGAGCATAACTTAGGCAACTCATTACGTTGTTATTTTATTACATAGGTAAGCCTTTTTTTCGACATAGTTTTTTTCCGAATTATTCTATTATAACTAATCTTCTGTGTTCCTAAATAGATTTTACAATCGTTTAAAAAAAAATTCAAACTTAAAATTTACATATATTTCAACAAACCATGTAGTGGGGTGTTAGTAATTACGTAGTCCATAACTTAAAAGTTATCCAATCGAAATCAAAATTTTTACACTAGGTATATTGTACGAAAAGTAATGTAATTTGTCTTCAGTGATACTACCAAATCGCATGAGTATAGTCGATATATCAAAAAAAAAAAAAAAAGAGCTGATGCTGGGGATGGGAGCGACCACTATTGTAGATGAGAAGTTGGGAAGGTAGGATACACAAGATTATTTTATTTAAATCTGTAAATAACGATAAACCATTCCGAGCGCAGTTCGGCAATACATACAATTTTATGTACAATACATTACAAATTGTAATGCCGTAATGTTTACTTACTCGCCAAAACACAACTTTACTATTGAAATAAGTGCTGTTATCGTTTTTATCAACTACAGTATAATCATTAATCTGAGAAAAAATTTCCCAAATTATAAATTACCGGCAGTTATAACTAATCATGAAATCAAAAAACGATTTGCGCCATGAGAAATAAGATGTACAATGAAACAAAAAATTTTCTTGTGATTTTTCAATTAAAGTACCTATTCTAATAATAAACGTTTTCCGTACTAATGTAAAATTACGAAAACTAATTCAAAAATCAAAAAAATGAACTCCATCATTAATAACTCAACAAAAAAAGTCTTGTCGTTTTTCAATTGGAGTCATATTTGTGCTAAAAATGTGGTAAGTACTTATTTAAAATAACGAAATCATGAAAAAATCATAATTTTTTCCCGATTAATTGTTTTTATTTTAAATACCAATTCGAAAATCAAAAAAATGACCTATGTATTTACCATGTAGGTAAAATTGAATTTCAGAAAAGATGCTACACTTATACATCTGAGCATGTTTCTAGGATAAAAGTGGTCTAAAGCATAATAAAATAAAGTACCATTGTAAAAAGTCCGATGATTTTGGAAATTTTACCACGTATTGGTATGTCCAATATAAGTATTGTTACCAAGTTTCAAGACTTTGTTTGTATTTATAACCGAATTACAGTAAAAAAACACCCAAAATTAAAATTCCTTACAAAGCTCAAAAGTTTTGGCAATGATACAATATAAAAATTAAAACAAAAAGGTGGTTTGTGATTTTTCGATTAAATTATTTTTTCTGGTAGAAAACGTCGTTTTTATAAAATAATGAAATTGTGAAATTTTACGTTTTCCTACGTTTTTTTCTCACTTAATTGCTTTTATTTAAAAAATGGTGTCGAAAATCAAAAAAATAACCTTTCTAAAGTACAATTTAGATGACTTGAGCTTACTTATATTTCGGAGCAAGTTTATTAGGAAAAAAATAAACATCTTAGTAAAACCAATAGTTTCTTCGCTACGCCCGAAATCTTGAATCAACGAAAAAAAAACACTAAAGTTCTGATCTTAATAATTATACAACAATCAATCTCGATTTATTTAATTGAAAAAAAAAATTGCAGATAAAATTATTTGACAAAACAAATATGAATTAAATAATTTAAGAATTAAAGAAAATTACGGACTTACGGAACGGGTGATTCAAAATGCGGGACCAAAGTGTTGTTTAGAACATTCTACTTGTTTTTGTCGTCATACCATATCTTATGGAATACAAATATTAAAATATTAACCTATATTATTTAATTATATAATATTATTTATTATTTAATATTTTGTTAATAAACAGTATTAGTAAGTATCCCACAATGAATACTTGAAATAAGTTTGGTTCTTTGTCGGATCATTGTGGAACATCCTATAATATAGACCTAATATAATTTATTTTTTAAATAATGTTTCCACTCCAGATGAAAATAATATAAAAAATGTTTTGGTTTTTTTTTTTTGATAAAATTGCAATATTTTCAAGTTGTGCAAAGGTTTATTATGAAATTATTTTCTTTTTGGCCCGCTCCTCCGTTATCCAAATTTCCAGAATTAATAAATATTGTACATTTGAATGTTTCTTATTCATATTTAATAAAACATATTAATTTAAAATATGTTAATATGCTGGCTAGTTTACGTATTAAGATCCAATATGATTGAAAAGGTAGTCCTAAATTGGAAACCACAAAGAAATAGGATCTTAAACAACGATGGTATGATAATCTCAAAGGATTTAACAATATTAAGAGGGATAATTTTATAGAAAGCTGAAAGGTTATGTGCGCTGCAATGAGCCTAAATAGCCTATGTAGCTGAAAAAAATAAATAAAACAAAGATAATATGGTTACAATTTGAATATACATCAATTTTTAATGGTGTAAATCGTATGAAAGTAATATGTCAAGACATAATTTGTTATTCTACTTTTAAATAGAGAAGTATTGATTACACCATTGGAGTTATTTTGCCATTCTTGAAAAGTGATAATTTAAAAAATAATAATTTATTTACTACATAAAAATACTAATTATGAAAATGTATCATTAGAGTTTATTAACTTAAGAATTATATTCTAATACTAGTGAGTTGATATTAATTACTTGCATTTTTTTTTTTATTAATTGCTTATGAAAAATCCAAAAATATATTTTTTATAATAATTTAAGTAAAACTTATTTGGTTAAAACAACAGTTGAGTACCTAGTGACTAGCTTTTTTATTGATATATGACATCAATAATACATTTATGTTCCTTAAAATAGCATTTTTATCTTCCATTAGTTTTATCTTTTTAGAATAATATGCAGACTTTATTTCTATCTTTTTAGCAGCGAGTTCAGCCATTCGATTTGCAACATCATTATTTTCTTGAAATCGTTGTGTACCTAAAGTACTTTCTTTAAAGTTAAAAAAAAAAAAATTACATAATATATTGTAATATTAATATTTTATATGTTCAATCATACCTATTTCAGAAGTGGTTTCTTCAGTTGGTTCTTCTTTTATTTTGAAATCTGTAGTAACTGAAATTGTTTTTAAATACATTTAATTCAAATGTTTAATACCTGAGAAGCTACTTTGGTTGATATAATAATAAATAATCATATTATTATCTAGGTTTAAATAAAAATTAATTGGTATACTATAAAATACATACATTCTATTATATGGTTGTCAGTGTAGGCTGGCAAAGTAACAGAATTTGTGTTTTCAATATCTAAAAATATCAGTAGTATGTATGCAAGCATTAAAATTGAATTCAGTAACTTTAAAATATAATGTGTATATTTACCATTTGTTCCATCAATTGAACTTGAACTATTATGTTTGTTAGCACCATTTTTAATGGTTGAAAAATCAAAATTTTCTGCTGATTCTGAACCATTGATCCTGAATACTTTATGGCAGCCACCATTCACAACAACTTGATTTAATGTATTCATTTGAGCATCAGATAATGTAATATTACAAGATTGTTCACCTCCTGCCACATATACGTGTTTTTTAATATCAGCAGCTTTTTTTTTGTACTTTGTATTTTTAGTTTTTGTATCGTGCCATGCCTAGAACATAATATTTAATTCAAAATTCAATATCAATATGAATTAATTGCCTATATATGCATAAAAAAAAATATATATATATATAGTCACCTTTTTCCATTTCTCGTAGGACTTTTTGGCTCCAGGTAATGCATTTAATTCATTAGCAATTTTTTTCCATTTTTCTTTAGCGTTTTGGCAATTAAAGTTCACTGAAAACGTACCCGTCATAAGATGTGGTTCCATTGACACTAGCTCTACTAAACGTTTCATTTGAAATTTCGTAGGTCTTAAATTAGGCATTGCACTTTGTTTACCTAAAAATTAAATACTTTTAGTAAAAAGTAAAAATAACCTGTTAACATTAAACTGTAGGCTGTAATTTGAAATTCTTATAATTTTAAATTGCTTAGGCGTTTTGGAAAAACAAAACGTTGTGTTGAAAATGATAGTACAGCGTTATGGTAAGTGAATATTGATAAGTGACCGTTTGATAAATATTGATAAGTGATAACTAGCCACTAGGCTACTAGCGTCTAGCCACAGAAAAAAAGATTCTAGCTGTCCCGCCTGGCTTTGACCATGCCAATTTTTATTTATTTTTTTTTTACCCAAAATATTCCTTTTTGGTTTCAACCGTGTCAGTGTTGAATGAAATCAAAATAGGTGGAGAGTGGGTAGTTCGGTGGACTAAAAGTGTTCTGTTGTGATACTTTTTCATGATTTTCATCACAAAAATGACTGAACACTGAAATTTGGTGGGGGAGGGTGGGTGAATTTCAAATTAGGTAACATTAAATACACATTGCATGTAACATAAAATATTATATGGATTAAGCCTATGCGATCGCGAAAAATGTCACTTGAGCATTCTTTAAGAAATTAATATCCCGTATGAATTTAACAATAAAATTGTGTCTGTTGTTTATTATCTGTTTGCACACAATTCGTTACATATCGCGGAGAAATCCCGGACTGTTCCCGGCCTATCACTGCAATTTATTTAAGATGAGGTGGAGTATGTGTGACCACATTTTTTTTTTTTATTTTGGACCATTGCCAGGCCTTATTCTAACGGACGGCAGGACCGTAGTAGGAAATTTCAAAAGTGCGGTTAGCTTCATAAATGTGATCGCTTTATAAAAAATATAATTTTCCTTATCGTTGAGCGATTATTGAATTCTTACTCGATATTTGTGCAATTTAAAAATCTACCTTGTATACCTAAACTCGAGTCACGCATATTTAATTGTTGAACGTTCGGTAGCTAAAATTAAACATTATTTCCCCAATATAATTTAAATGTATTTTGCTTATCAGCTTATACACCACATGATTCGTACGCCGTGATTGTGCAGTGTATTTTTGTTTATTTGTTATTTCTCTGCTATATTTTTTTTTTCAATTTAATTTTCTTCGTGCAATTTTTTTTTGTAGGGTGGGATTTAAGTATTAAAGTTCATATGAATTTCATGAAAAAAAAAACTTTTTAATGTATTTCGCGAGCAGTAGATAAAAATCTTTAGAATAATAAGAATTTATTTGATACAAAAATGAAAAATATTGAACCACTAATTCAAGAGTTATGAACGTTTTTAAAATATTAATTTTAGTTTTTCTGATTTCTTGTCTAAAGCCCATAGGCTTATCATTTATCAATGTTGTAGTTCGGTGTCATACGATTTCACATACACACTTTCCCCACATCTATTAAACACATTTACCCCAATACACTTAATGAAGGAGTAAGAGTGAAATCGTAATTTAACAAAATATAATATAAAATTATGTTATTAAATTATTAAATTATTAAAATATAGAAGATATTTAATGTATTTATTCCTTTGGTTTAATCGAATCGGATGGAATCAAATGTAATTGATGAAGTACTAAACGATATCGAATTTGTATATGTAAGTTTTATCACACCACTTTACGCGGGATTAGATAACACAATATTAAATGATGCGACAAACATACCTCCAATAGAACGATCGATTTGAGTACTTGTGCAAATCTGGAATGTAGAAATCTGGAACGTGCAATTCTTGAAAATATCGATCGGGAAAGTACAAATCTTGAACTCAGGGTTAACGGTCGTCGATGATTGAACCGTATAAACCTGGAATGTAAAAGTCTGGAATGATAAAATCTTGAAAAATAATTATCTACTAATACAGTGTCACCAACTTCGAATAAAAAATCTGTATTTCTATATACAATTATATAGGGTACCCATAAAAATCTGGACCCTACAAATCTGGAATCGGTAAATCTGGACCATACAAACCTGGAAAATAGAATTTTTAAATCCGTAAAAGTCCGGATATTATAAATCTAAACGGTACAAAATTGGACTGAACAAATCTGGACTACATATATCCATTTAAGGGGTAAGTATAGGCCATAAATATACCATTACATAAAATACAATATTTAAAGGGCTATATATAAGTAATTTATATTAAATTTTTATACTAAACGCTTGTATAGAAGCCCTTTATTTGCCAACTTCAAATTATTGGCTCTTTCCATATTTATAGTTGTATGCAAAATGTCAAAATTCTGTGATTATATTTGTGGGAATTTGAACACCCAATGTTAAAATTTTATTTTTCAATCATTTGTTGGTAATACTGTTATTGTACAAACTAGTCAAACCGTTATTATTTGGTTTTAAACATGGTCGCACAGCGTTTTTTGAAATGGCCACACATGGACCGGCAAAATGTGAAACGACTATTTTATTTAGGTGACGGGGCAAAAACAAAATATACATTTTAGGTACACTTAAGAACCGTCGAATTTACTCATTCGGACTGTGTGTAATCGAACATTGTTTTATCATATTATTCTCATATTAAAATTTATAGATTTGTACTGCACTACACCAATTACCAAGGCACGGGCCGAAACTCAGCTACTTTTCTGCGCCGAAACTCCACTACTTTCCTTGCGAAACTTAAAAGTATTACTCTAGAATCTAGGTTTAGATTGATCACTTTGTATATGTATGGATGTGCCTTCGAGAATATTCGAGTATTGGATTTCCTCATGAGGTCATATCGAACGAAAATAACGATTTCAGGACCAGAAACTATTATTGTTGCATTTTTAATCTAGTTTATGAGTAAGTTATTCGTTTTTTGATTTTCTCTATAGTTTTATTAAGAATTAGGAAAGAAACGTAAATAAAACTTACAAATTTACCGCGTTATGATCTCATTATTTTAATATTTCAATGTTTACGGTCTACACATATTCCTTAAATGAATGTTATCCATCGATGTTATAATTTTTAGTCCAGATTTGTACAGTTCAGATTTCCAATTTCTAGATTTATACACGCTCCAAATTATATATACCATATATATATATATATATATTATATCCCAATTTTACAAATTGCTTATGCACCTAATAATAACACATAATAATTGTTTTGTTAAAAAAAAAATATGGTAACTGTTCTCTGACACTGATAAGAACTTCTAAGAGGTTGATGTCCCAAACGTAACAATAAAACCTAATACCTTTTCTGGTCAAAATTTAGGTAGGGGTGATATGTTTTTTTTTCTTATAGTTTTTAAAATAATGGCTTTTGGTCACGGGCGTATATGTTTTTGTTCCAAAAGTTGGTAACACTGGATTAATAGAAAATTATTTTTCAAGATTAGTTCATTCCAGGTTTGTATGGTTTAAATTTCGATAACCATAAAACCCTGAATTCAAGATTTGTACTTTCTAGATTTGTGCATTTCAGATGTGTATTTTTAAGAGTTATACGTTCCAGATTTGTAAATTCTAGATTTGTACAGGTACCCGTATAATTATGAATGCTATCAAGTCTAAATATCTAACAGTCACACTTATCCCGAAATCACATTTACCCCGCCATACCTTACAGCAAATGTATTTTTAACTATTTACCTTGAAATTTGGTTAGGGTTAATCCGTTAAATATAAATTATTCAGGGAAGATTCTTTTGAATAAAAACCGTGATTATAATTTACTAATATTCCGAACTTCTATACAGATTTCTGAAAGAAATTATTATTTATAGATAGTTTGATGTTTAAGAGGACAAGGCCCCTATGCCCCCCCCTCCTAAATTCCTCGCCTGGGTGTTGAAATGTTTCATTTCCGTTTTTCTGGTTCGGACAATCTGCCCGTGGTGCTTTTTTTTTGATTAGAACGGAGGACACGCAGTGGATATTCATTAGAAAAAAAAAAAAAAGTTCCGACGTACCTACCAATTACTCGTAGGCACAGAATAATCGATCGGTCGATATGTACCCGGTAAACAATATGTACTACCTATCTGCCTATAACACCGATTTATTATGCGCGCGCGCGCGTGACTACATTATAATCACGAACAATTGATTTCGAATGTATTATTATTATACTTAATAAACGTGCCCGTCGCTGTTTTCGTTGGCCGACGATCGTGTACCGAATAACGCGCGAACCGTACCCAACATCCATTATCCGCCGCCGGCCGCTATCTAAACAATATTAATGTTATTTGTAGCAGCCGCGTAGCGCTTATGACCGTTTATTATTACGGTACCCGGCGCGTTACCTGTACGCATCGCGTTCTCGATGGGCGGTACTTCGGTCTGAACGTCGGATGTAACATTGTAATAATTACAAACGGACGTCATCGCGAACGTTATTGACGGCGAAAACCTTGCGGCGTGTCGAACGAACATTCGTTTCATCTCCGCACGACTGCGGTTTACTACACCGCGGTTCTCGGCCGGACCCGCCGCGATAATAATATCACGTGGGTTGCGTCGCCAAAACGTTTTGAAACGATATATTATTTAACGCGGAATAAGTAATACGGTGTATAATCCGTTTTCCATCACATTATCGACGACTTTTATCACAATTGAAATTAACATGCCTAATATCTTTGGTCCCAGTGTACGAGGACTCGAGTCAATTATGTATAGTGTTCAATGCGTATACGAACAAATCAAATTTGGAAAATGCCATTGTATACGCAAACTAATACACGGCGTACAATTTTATTTTATTTAGACGGGCAAGCCCAAAAGACAAGTGAATTAAAAAGTATAATTTGAAAATAATAATTTGTTAGCGGCGCGCACGAGGCGGAGAATTGGAGAGTTAAAAGAGTAATTAGTAGACGGCAGGGGGATGAGGAGAGGCGGGGAAGAGCGGGTATGACGGAGAGGGACGTTAAAAAAAACTGTGATAATAAATAAGGAGAATCAATTTTATCGGAAACGAGATTAGAGAGGAAAAAGAGGTTGAAAAAGTGTCTGCGGTCAGCTACATTAGATAATAGAAGCGTAATTCCAGGAGGATGGGGGAGTAATCGTGAGGTGAGTGGGGAATCGAAAGGCGAATAAAGTGAGAAACTTACGTTGAACACGCTCAATTATACTGCCGCAAGATGTAGAAGTGTCCCAAAGTATGGGTCTGCATTCCAGGATAGGATGTACATTGTACATGGCAGCAAATAAGAGATTTGAAGGGAAATTGTTATTTTCAATGTAGATCACAAAATTTGCACTGGACAAAATATATAAAAAGAACTGATTTCCACTATTCTTCCCTGTGACATAATAATTAATTTGTTAATTTTTCAAAAATTAATTAATTGTTGAGTAATAAGACGTATGTCACCATCCATTTCAATTTATGCCAGGGTACAGTTAGGAATGTATCTAGTACTGTCGTCGTCTTATCTATTAATAATGTTGTGGTTTTTAATTTTCATAATAAGTAAAAGTTATCAAATTATGTATGATAATTTTTCATGTGTTACGTGAACATGTTTTACTATACAATTTTTTAATTTTTCAGTGGTTGATGGGTTCAAGTTTCGTTTTTACAAATCGATAAAATATGAATACGATTATATTGTCAGTCATAATTCTGAAAAATGGGAAGGAAAATATCGATTTTCCGAAAAATATCTTAGGCCTAATTTACGTAGTATATGACTGCTCTTTTTTCTGGGACGAAATTTATCGACTCTACGGCGAATAAATCACGCAAGAACACATGGTGAACCGATCGTTGTCGGTATTTTGGTCATGCTCAAAGGAACATAGTGAGCATATTTTGTGCGTCCATCTGGACGGTTAATTTTGATTTCAGCACATCAAAATATTTTCCATTTTTGTTAGTTTATGATTTTGGATTGAGTTGGTGATTAGGTAATAAGTTATTTTTTAATTTTTCCAGCAGTTCTCTTTATAATTGGGGAAAAAACATAGGTAAATTTACAAAATGTATTATTTTCAATTTTTTTTTTTTTGAGATTTACATTAAATTCCTCTCTGTATCCTAACTTCCCAACTGCTCACCCACAACAGTGGCCCATCCACCGTGCAAAGTTTGTCCGTCTCTTTTATAATACATTTGAATTGACCATAAGGGTTGTTATTATTTGTATTGTAATAGTATTGTATATTCTATATCGATACATCGTCCATCAGCAAATTGAATTATTAGTTATAATGTTTTTATTTGATACGAGTTTACCATATAGTTTGCAATGTCGTCTGCTACACATTTTTTAATACCTATTTGTGTTTTACCTCAAAAATCGTATTAATTAGAATGTCTGTGAGTTGATAAAACAACCCCTTACATAATATATGTATATATATATATATATATACATGTACACAATGCGGGGCGTGCGGTGTCCTCTGTATATTAAATAAACAATAGGTGCTTAACTTATACGACAAATAAAACAAATGTAGAAAATAAAAAAAAACGTTGAAAAATCGACCAAACGAAGAATTCCCGGACCATTACGCGCCGTATGACAATTATCTACATTTACATAATATCCTACATAAATGCACACATGTAATAAAACGTGCCCAGGCCGCGAATGGAAAAAAAATTATAGCCGGTATATACGCTACACTAGTTTAAGGATAAGGTTTCCCGGCAGCTGTGCAGCCGGTGCTCGGGTACGTAACTGACCGGATGGTAGGTACTACCACTAGTTATATATGTATATATATACAATAATATTATACTTAGTTTAATACCGCATGACCAAACCATAGGTGCCTATATACAGGGTGGTTCATTTATCAAGATCCGACGTTACCATATTATTAGGAATTTATTGTAACCCTTGCCCACTTCTCCGGTTTAAATTCTAAACTGTAATAATAATGAATCCAATAGTATCGGTGTTATGCTTATCGACATTTTTAGAAAAATATAATTGTTTCGAATGTCTGTTGAAAATGAGAAATATGGAGGGGAGGAGAGCATGGCCATTTGAAAATTAAAATTTAATACTTATTTTCGGTATAAGGACTAAAGTTTTCTCAATCTGTTTTCTCCAAAAGTTTATTTCCCCAGTGCAATATTTTCCAATAAGTAATTAATGCAATACAAACAAATGATTAATTTTGATGGCACTAGAGTGTACTACAATATTAAAATATGAATATAATAATTAAATATACATTTTTAAAGTATTAGAGTTGGTCCCATTATTGCTATAAATATATTTTCATGTGACGAATTTGAACAATGTTCTCAATTAAAACAGGACACACCTATATTATTCATTTTTAATCGTGTAATATTATGTATTTATTTGTATTATTTACGCGGGCGAGATTAGATAGACGTTAACATCGTTATAATAATGCTAAAATTTCGTTTAGCGTCTTCTTAAAAACCTCAGAGAATCGCCGGATCACAACAAAATAATCACCCTGTATGGCGTGGTACGCATACACACGACTGAGCAATTTTAAGAACATTATTTATTATTATTATATATACGTCTATAATATATGGTGCGGGGTACGTTATTCGTGAACGTGTACCTATATAGGTGTATAATATAGTAGGGTATCACAAAACGGCGGGGTTTATTATTGTTATTTTCCGTCTGACACGGCCGCGAGACACAGCGTTTTTTATTTTTATTTATTATTTTTTTTTTATATAGGCACCTAACCTATACGCCTGATGATGCAAGCCGCACTTAATCCCTCCGAAACCCACGTCGCCACCGACGGGTCACCCCCCCCCCTCCCCTTCGCTTATTAGTCTTTATTTTACTGCGGCATTCTCGTTTTTTTTTCTCCCTTCATCCATATAATATACACGTGTACAAAAACAATATTATATAGACGTACCAATATATTATTATACCTTATGATATTGTTGACCGCGTTGCGTACAAGTACAACGCAGGGCGTTTTTCAACGGGGTTTTCTGTGTCCAAAGAGACACGCACTAGAGTCGATTGGTCACCCGTGTAGTGTACGATTTTGCTTACCGTGTGGCATAAAATATTCGATTTACAAATAATATAAAAAATCACTACAAATATTCGATTTCGTAACAAAAATATATTTTAGATTTTGAGTTATTGGTTTTACAATGATGTTTATTTTATTATTATGTTATTTTCTGTGACAACAATTTTTACTAGAAATCTTGCTCCGATATGTACGTTTGGTGCCATTTCTGAAAGGAAATATTGTCTAGGTGATACTTTAAGGAGGTCATTTAATGATTTTCCAAGCGGTTTTCATAATATCTGAGAAAACCCGGGATAAACGTATGAAAAAAGGGAAATTTACAAAAATAATGCTTTTATAATTCAGTTAAATTCGTTCAGTTAATTCGTAGTGACTTGAAATTTGGACAGAAAACTTATATTTGCATTTTCTAGTCGTGGTAAAACTGTAAAAACACTTGACCCTATTTGAGCTATTTAAAGACATTTTAATTTCGTGAGTAATTTTGAGGTAATCTGTGGATAAAATTGTTAGACTAAATAGAAATGCCTGAAAATTGAACAGGTCAATCATTATTAGTTCACTTTGTGATCAAAATAAAAACAATTGTATTTAATGGTTTTTTGTTTATATAAAAATCTTAATATCAAATTTTGATGAAAATCGTTTTAGTAAAAAATTATGTGGCACAAATCTATAGTTATAGTCCTTACAAATTATTTCAATACATATTTATTTTACTATAATATGACATATATAATGTTGAAAAAGCAATACTATTAACAAAGCTTCACTTAGAATAGTTTTTCGTTAGCAATGGTTAAGCAATGTTTATTATTTTTAATTTTTTTTGTCTGTGTACAACTTTTCTAACAGCCATTTTGCTTCGATATAAAATGATGGTACTTTTTTTGAAAGGAAATCTGACTGGGGAGGTACTTTAGGGAGGTAATTTTTTGATTTTCCTAGGAGTTTTCCCATCAAATGACAAAAACCGTGAAAACATGGGAAAACCGAGAAAACGGGAAAATAGGTACAATATTAAACAAATATTATTAAATAAAATGTTTAAGGCATATATATAATTATTTTACCGATATTCGATATATATATATTGTTAACAAAGCAACACTATCAACTGAACTTCGCTCAGAATCGTTGCTTACAGATATACATTAAATTCCCGTATATTCCTGTCTATTCCCGGGTAGGATATATATCCTACCCTCCCAACTTCCCATCTAAAATAGTGACTGCACCCGTCCCCATTATCCTAGAAACAGCTTTGTTTTTATATATATATACAGTAGAAATTATTCTTATTGAGGGAGAAGGGTTACTGGGGAAAAACTAAAACTTAAGTGGAAGATTTGGTCTATCTGCTCGTGGTAATTTTT